TCATAATTTATTATTTGATTTATATTTTTTTTTATCTAAATTTACAATCAAACTAAAGCTCTACTTACAATATAATAAAGTACATTTATAATATATAATATAAACTTACACTGTAAAAAACACTGGAGAAGATTTTATAATAATATATTTACAGGTTTTTTATTGTTTAATTTGCAGTTTTTTCTGTATTTTCTAAATACAAAGAAATATTAATAAAATTATAAAATTAATTTACATGTCTAATGTAAACATTTCATTTTTTCGCTTAAAAATATTAAAACACATTCGCGAGTCTATCATTTTTACTGTTTATTTAATAAATTCAACTGTTAATTTCAAGTTTAATAATGTTAATACATTTATAAAATTATGTAAAATTAGTGATATTAACAGTAAAAAAGTATTTGTTGTGTAATTTTAATGGATTAGTTTGTTAATTGACAGATATCTTGTATAATTATGGAAGTTTTCACAACACAAACTAATAAATGTCGTTTATGTGTGTGTGTGTGTGTGTGTGTGTGTGTGTGTGTGTGTGTGTGTGTGTGTGTGTGTGTGTGTGTGAGAGAGAGTGTGTGTGTGTGTGTGTGTGTGTGTGTGTGTGTGTGTGTGTGTGTGTGTGTGTAGGAGCGGACCCGGGCCGCCCTGTTGGACAGCCTCCATGATGAGCTGCAGAGACGCTCCCAGAGCATGCTGGGATTGACCTCAGGTCTGGAGGAAGAGGGGCGGGCAGAGAACGGACACGCCCACGGAGGTCTGCTGGAGTCCATCAAGGTCTGTGTTCTGTTAGTAATCAGATTACTTTGCTAAATACTCACATTACTCTAACACTTCCTCTCTCTTTGGGTCAGAGGGCGATGCGAGGGCGGAGCGTCTCCATGGAGACCATGTCGCGGGGCGGGGCAGGGCTGCCCACCAGTCTGAGCGGGGGGGGTCTGGCACACATCAGCCCTGAGGTGAGCAGAGGTCAGAGGTCACTGGGTTGTGATGTAAGCATGTTTGTGTGCTGACTGTCTGCTGTGTGTCCGCCGTCAGTACAACGTGAAATCTCCAGTGAAGAGGAGGTCGGGACTGTTTCCTCGTCTGCTGAGCGTCGACAGCCAAACAGAGAAACACAACCAGAGGAGGTGACCTTTTATTTCTCTGTTTCTGCACCTCCAATAAACTACAGTCTCACTCCCAACCCGTCAAAGTCTGCAGGTGTGATCTCAGAGAGACTCTCGGAGACTCTGTTTCCTGACGGTGACTTTTAAAGAATGAAAAAACTAAATAATAATAAATGAATCCTAAACGAGCATTCATTCATACATTCATTCATTCATTCATTTTCAACCCCTCAGAGAGTCAGCGTACCTCACTGCCCTCTGAGCAGGACGAGGTGTCAGGAAACCACATTTGGTGCAGCTGTGTTGTTGTCCAGGTGGAAACAGTAAACCTTTAGAGTCGGGTCCCATGTATGTGGCTGCAGTTCCTCTAAGGGCCACTAGAGGCTCCAGCAGTGAGTCGGTCTCCATAGGTCTTAAACCTGCATTCTATGTAATGACCAGCAGGGGGCAGATTAAAAAAGCAGGACTTTGAGTCCCGTGTGAAACCAAAATTAAACAATTTCTAGTAACATATGTAAGTTAAACTACGTACGACATTTTTCTTTACCCAAACTGTCACTCTGTTCAATGCGTAACCTTTATTTTGAAAGTCTAACAGGACGTAGAATATGTATTCTTGCTAATGTTGCGATATGAGTCGTACGTTGAGACAGAGGACCACTGACCGAGCTGCAGTATTTAACGAGTTGGCAGTGAGACCGTGTTTCATCCTCCTCTGATGGCGCTAGGCTAACAGTTTCCCTCCACTGCCAGTGTTTGTGCTAAGCTAGGCTTCACTGCATCTTTCTTCCTCCTCAGTCTCCTCAGCGAGCAGAGGAGCTTCGACAGCTGCCACCCGACACTGGAGGTGAGGCCAGAGCTGCCGTCCAATCCCAGCTCTCCAGAGGCGGGACAACGGGTGGACAGGTGTGTGTGTGTGACTGCACCAGTGGCCACTGGTGGCGCTGTGGAGCCTTGTTTTTATCACTGGGTCCTCACATTGACTGTGTCCACATTCCTGCCGCTGTCTGTTCTGTAGGTGGTTTCCGAGTAAATACAAAAATCTGACCTTGTTCACAGCAGCCATTTTCACATGAAATAGGGTAAACACAGGCGTTACCAATAGGGATGCTCGATATTGGCTTTTCTGCCAATATCCGATATTCTGATATTGTCCAACTCTCAATTTCCGATACCGATATCACCCGATACCGATATATGCAGACTTTTTACACCAAAACTGTAACAACATAACATATCTCCTGTTGTGGAATTAACACATGATGCCCCACTGGTAGGGTGGCCATTTCCTTCACATCAAACAGGAGGACACTTTACATACACGGGGACACGCAAGCAGATATTTGTTTGGTATGATCCGGTTTTAAATGTTCATGTTTTTCCAGCAGATTACATAAAGGTGCATACACATTCCACATAGCTAATAATAAATATACAAGATACAGCTCATGACAACGTGCCCTTCAGATTACATAGGTCTAATAAACATCATACAGAAACTGTTCTTAATGTTTTTATCTGGATAGATAAAGGGTAAACAAATGCAGCACCTTCTGTTTCAGATGTATAGACTTTACCTATCTACATATGAGTGTGAGCATTTTCAGAGTTTCAGTCCAACAACCGACGTTAGCTCACGTTACGTTCTCTGTGGCTGAGAGTTTGATTGACAGCCTGGTGTCTAATGTAAACTCTGAGCCAATTGTTAGTTTGGTTAAGGAACAGCTCATAGCAGGGTCAAATATTTAAGGTGCATTGAACTTATTTTGTGTTAATATTAAAATCATTCAGCTTTAAATTGTTTGTTTGTTAGCCACGTTAGCAACCAACCAGTCTAGTTGTTGTTGTTGTTGTTGTTATACATCATCTAGCGCGCGCCGGTAAACGTCCCATGCTGCGTTCATGTCGGCTCGGAAATGCTGAAGCCTACAGAACAAACATCGGTTATAAAAACCCGATACCGATAATTCCCGATATTACATTTTTGAGTGAATATCAGCCGATAATATCGGAGGGCCGATGTTATCGGACATCCCTAGTTACCAACGATACTAATCGAGGCTTTGTTCCATTTAGTGTAGCAGAGCCTCTCCAGTGAGCCAACATGTCCGGAATGGAACTGAACAACAACCCAACTATTTCATGTCAAAACGGCTGCTGTGAAAATCGTCTATTGACCACCGAACTGTAACATTTGGCCACAGCGCAAGATAAAATATAATTACATTTCCAGGACAACAGAAATTATTTCTAGTTTCTACTCTCTTATAGTTGGACACTCTTAGTTATTACTAGTCTCTAAATCTCCAGGTTTTCCAGGTTTCCAGGTAAACGCGGGAACCCAATGTTTTCTGAGGAAGGAAAAAGGCCGGATGTGTAAATATAAATGTGTCAGTGAAAACAGACTGAAGTAAACACAACTCCTTGTTTGTGATGTGCAGGACTCACGTGAAGAAGGAGAGCAGTAAGATCTCCAGATCCACGTCCAGCACCTGCAGCTTCAGCATCCCTGCAGACGACACTCACCTGGTGACACACACACACACACACACACATCGACACACACACACGCACACACACACACACACACACACACACACACACACACACACACACACACACACACACACACACACACACACACACACACACACACACATCGACACACACACTACACACACACACACACACATCGACACACATACACACACACACACACACACACACACACACACACACACACACACACACACACACTCGACACACATACACACACACACACACACACACACACACACACACACACACTCACACACGCACGCACACACACACACACACACACAAACACACACACACACATCGACACACGCACACACACACACTCACACACACACACACACACACCTCACACACACACACACACACACACACACACTCGACACACACACACACACACACACACACACACACACACATCGACACACACACACACACACACACACACACACACACACACACACACACACACACACACACACACGCACACGCACACCCACACACACACACACATCGACACACACACACACACACACACACACACACACACACACACACACACTAATACAGTTAATATTAGTAACCTGTCTCTCTCTCTGTGTCTGTAGCTCGCCCAGGCTGCACCGGTAGAAGGTCAAAGTTCAAGCCCGATCATCGTCTGTCGCAGCCCCACAGGTTCATACACACACACACGTCATTATAAAGTACCACCGACAGCTTTAGAATCTGACCTCTGCAGGTTTCACTCCACGGACCTTTACGCTGTTTGTTGCTTCCTGTTGTCAGAGTTAGCAGTTTATTTGTTTGTTTGTTTGTTTGTTTGTGTTTTCTCTCTCAGAGACGAAGAATAAAAACTCTCCCAGATCCAACCTCAAGTTTCGCTTTGACAAGTTGAGTCACTCCGCTGCAGTAAGTCCGTCTTTAGGTGCGTCTGTCTGTTGATGGCGAAAGCCAATCAGCAGGCAGGACGTCACCTCATCTGTGTATCTGTGTCTTTGTACTGGATATATAAATATATACTGTGTCTATGTATGTGTATATGTATATTTTAAAGGTCCAGTGTGTAACATTGAGGAGGATTTATTGTCAGAACGGAACCAAACACTGGCTTTAGATGTGGACTTTCACTGTAGTTTCTCCTATGTGCTTGAAAGGCTGAGCTGTATTCAGTTAGCTGCAATCAGCTAATTCACCACTAGATGCCACCAAATCCTGCACACTGGACTTTATACTGTTGATGTTTGTGTCCAGTTGAGACTCATTAATCTTCAGGACTGATGTTTCTTCCTCTGTCTGCAGCAGGGTCACTGAACTGAGGACAGCAGTGGGAGGTGTGTACGTCCACATTTACTTACTGTACTTCATCATGTTTGTATGTAAAAATATAAAAACCAACGCTGTTGCAGTTAGTTTGGAGCGAGAACAACACCGGACCCGGTTTGGTCTCCTTTTAGAGCCTGAAAATGTAAACCTCTGAAACCGGGTTCCAGAGTGCAATGTTTACGATGGCGGACTGTGGAACTGTGATCAGCAGAGACGCATTAATTACATCAAACACTCTCTCCACCTCTGTGTCGACGGAGGACAAAACAATAATCAATAATAAAGTTTCACCACCACCTACTGGCCTGACATGCATACTACAACATTTTCAATCGTTTTTAAAAAGCAAAGGACAGTACTCAGGGCTGTAGTAATACCTGCAGACAGTACTCAGGGCTGTAGGAATACCTGCAGACGGTACTCAGGGCTGTAATAATACCTGCAGACAGTACTCAGGGCTGTAGGAATACCTGCAGACAGTACTCAGGGCTGTAGTAATACCTTCAGACGGTACTCAGGGCTGTAGGAATACCTGCAGACGGTACTCAGGGCTGTAGGAATACCTGCAGACGGTACTCAGGGCTGTAGGAATACCTGCAGACGGTACTCAGGGCTGTAGGAATACCTGCAGACGGTACTCAGGGCTGTAATAATACCTGCAGACAGTACTCAGGGCTGTAGGAATACCTGCAGACAGTACTCAGGGCTGTAGTAATACCTTCAGACAGTACTCAGGGCTGTAGTAATACCTGCAGACAGTACTCAGGGCTGTAGGAATACCTGCAGACAGTACTCAGGGCTGTAGGAATACCTGCAGACAGTACTCAGGGCTGTAGTAATACCTGCAGACAGTACTCAGGGCTGTAGGAATACCTGCAGACAGTACTCAGGGCTGTAGGAATACCTGCAGACAGTACTCAGGGCTGTAGTGAAACCTGCAGACAGTACTCAGGGCTGTAGTAATACCTTGAGACAGTACTCAGGGCTGTAGGAATACCTGCAGACAGTACTCAGGGCTGTAGGAATACCTGCAGACAGTACTCAGGGCTGTAGTAATACCTGCAGACAGTACTCAGGGCTGACAGTTAACCTTAGTAAGGTGTAAGTATAATAATTGAAGTGCATTAACAATAGAAAGATTACCAGAGCACAAAGTATTTGTGTTTCTTTTATTAATATTACAGAAAACAGTTTGAACCCATGAATGAATATCAGACATAAACACAAACATAAACACAAACATAAACATAAACACAAACACAAACACAAACATAAACATAAACACAAACACAAACACAAACATAAACATAAACACAAACACAAACATAAACACAAACACAAACACAAACATAAACAAACACTGAACCGAATGCAGGTCTTCAGCAGATTTACATTCAGAGTTCAGACGGCCTCCTTCAGACCTGTTTCATCTTTCTCTTTTCCATTTTGTAGAATAACAACGAGGAGGCTCCCACACACATCAGGAGGAGGAAGAGGAGGAGGAGGAGGAGGAGGAGGAAGAGGAGGAGGAGGAGGAAGAGGAGGAGGAGGAGGACTTTAATGTTAAGACACTGCTGAGGATAAAAAAGGGAAAAACACTTCAACATTCGTCCTTCACTGCTGCAGAAACCTCAGAGAGAATGAGACCTGCAGGACTGTGTGCATGTTAACACACACTCACACACACACACACACACACACACACACACACACACACACACACACACACACACACACACACACACACAGACACACACACAGACACAGACACACACAGACACAAACAGACACAAACAGACACAAACTCACACACACACACACACACACACACACACACACACACACACACACACACACACACACACACACACACACACACACACACACACACACACACACACAGACACACACACACAGACACACACACACACAGACACACACACACACACACACACACACACACACACACACACACACACATTTATGTTTTGCCTCCGCTTGTGAAAACAGTACTTCCTGTTTTCTGATGATGTCATTGTGATGTCACCATTTCATCATCACTTCCAGCTGTTAAACACTGATGATGTCACATTAATCAGGGACACTGAAGACCGGTTGGACGTCCTCCACCAGTAAACTTTTATCATTTATTTATTTCATTATAAAGATTCAGAATGTCACCGTATCATTTCCTGTTTCGATGCAGCTCAGAGTCACATGACTGCTGACGGTTTGTTACACGGAACCATGTGGGGAAGGTCAGCTGACCGTCCGTTTCATACTGACAGTGTGTGGCTAGAAATTAAACTACAGTCTGTTCCTGTATATCAGAGGTTTAATACACAGTACTGGAGACTGGAGTGATCCCACACATAGCAATAACAGGACACAACAACTGAACTGAGAACTGCAAGAGACCACCATTATCTGTATTACAGATTTTATTTAGGATTTATTGATCTTGTTGTTCTGTTAGCTCTTCTGTTGTTTGAGGGTTCTGTGAATAGAGTTCAGGTCTTCACAGTTTATATCTTAAATAATAATCTAAACTTTAAAAATGACAATTTCATTTTCTTTTCCTCACAGAAATACTGAGATAAAGTTTTCTTACACCCTTTAAAATGACTCTCATGACGACCGCTAGTTAACTTAAAGATTGAAAGAGAAACAAAGAATGAAACTAAATAAATACAGTTAAAGTTTTCTTCTTCATTATTATTATTATTATTATTATATTATTTCATTATTATTAGTTAAATACAGGATAAACTGTAAAACAGTTTACATACTGTAAATATTCAGACTAAACTGACCAGTACTGTGTTGTAAACTTAGAAGAATACAGACATGAACTGTAATTTTATTTCTACTAATTAAAGGCACACTATGCAAGATTTTTACTTTAATATAACAGCTTCAAAGTCATTTTGATGGTAAACAAACTCGTAGTATAGCGAATCATCCCGATAGCAAAGCAGGAGAGGGACGCCGTTGGCAGAACCAGCAATGCAAGTCTGAAGGTGGCGTCCCGCCAAATCTCGCGAGAGTCACAAATTGCTTTACGGCACGACGTCACATACATCAGCGACATAAGAAGCAGCCTCAATGGAAGACACTAGAGGCATTCACTCAGACGTTACCTGGTCAGTAGACATCTTGAGTGGTATTTACGACAGTTAACGTTAAATACAAGTACTCCGCAGCGACTCTAGGGAGAGCTGTTTGACAAAACCGGAAAACTGCATAGTATGCCTTTAATAGTAAATTTCAGTAAGAAACTTAATTAATGTTAATTACTGTGAATTTACAGTGTGTCAGCGTCTCTCACAGATGAACTTAAATCAATAGAATAAATCCTAAAAGCTGCTGCTTAGCTCTACCTTTTACTACCACAGAAGAAGAAAACAGGAGGGTTTATCTCCACTTCCTGTTACTTTCTGCTGTTTCCAAGGTTCATTATTAGAAGGTCGGTCAACTCAGTTTATGGGAATTATTAAGGTTCAAATCCCCTCTGCTCCACACTGTCACACCAAACTCCATTCAAAAAACGGCTGTTTTAAGGAAGTAAAACCTTTATTTCCACCATCAGTGAGACTCTGATTCTCTTCAGTCTACAGACACAATCTGCTCACATTGACTCAGTAACATCATTAACTAACCTGTGAGGAAGAGTTGGACACAGACACACTCACTGACTGTCTGTCATTAACTAACCTGTGAGGAAGAGTTGGACACAGACACACTCACTGACTGTCTGTCATTAACTAACCTGTGAGGTTGCACCTGACTGTCTGTCATTAACTAACCTGTGAGGAAGAGTTGGACACAGACACACTCACTGACTGTCTGTCATTAACTAACCTGTGAGGAAGAGTTGGACACAGACACACTCACTGACTGTCTGTCATTAACTAACCTGTGAGGAAGAGTTGGACACAGACACACTGAACTGGGTTTTTATTGTTTGCTGTGTAAAATGTGACGCAGCAGCTTTTCTACACTCTCTCGTTCTGCTGTAACTGATGCTAGCAGCGGTGTGCTAACCTCTTTAACAGCCGCCATTGTTGTTTCTGTGCAGTCACTTCTGACAGACGTCTGTGACGGCGCCAAACCAGTTTGATCGGAAACATAATCTGACTTTAATTAAAAACACTGAATTCAAAATGATCATTTAATAAAATGCTGCTGCGGGAGACGTTACACACCCTGAGCTAACAGTGGATCCTTCTGCATCAATGAATGAGCTCATTATTATACCAGGAATTATTAGTATGATTATTTACTGCTGGGAAGTTCTGAAAAATGTGATATAACAATCAATAATTCTGGGCTGTACCGTCCCCACTGGTTTTCCATCATCCTTTTGTTCTTTGTGGAATGAAAAGTCTCAGATTTAATTTGGTGAACTTGCAGAAACACTTGCAATAATCATTTTTACTCAGACAGACAAATAAAGAACTTTATACACTGAAGATGTTTGCAGGGTGAGTATTGATCAGTCCCTCCAGGACGTCACAGGCTTTATTAGGATTGTTGCGACCTCAAATATCAGATTTCACTGCAGCTTTTCTAAAAAAATCTTGTTGCTGCAGTGAGAATACAAGCTGTCGTAGTTTGGTGACGTGTGGCTCAATATTTTGTGCAGGAAACCAACGATGGTCAAATTTACATAGAAGTTGCAGCGATTGGACCAAAAGGTTGCACAGAATGCACATGATTGGTTGGATTTAACCGTCGAGACTTCCTGGAGGAACTGCTTGTACAATTATTTTATTTTCTATCTGCTCCTGATTAAATGATGTCTGTACGTTTACATCAGTCACATCTTAATTCATCACAACTGAGTTTGTCCTTTTCATCACAGCTCTGCATCAAACCTGCAAACACTTTAATGTTAGAAGATATTTACATTATTATTATTATTAATAACAGGTTGGACCCAGAGCTGTGGTGAAAGCGACCGACTGTAAACCTGCAAAAAGTAGAAGCTTCACTGCCGTTTGATGCCAAAACCGATAAGAAACAGAAGTTTATTTTGAACTGACAGGAAGTGGATCTTCCTCTGTGGATGTTATGAATATGAAATATGTCTGAGACAGATTAATAACTCGGTAATGATCTGCTGTCATTGTCTCGATTGCACTGAAAGCACAAAATCTGTTCCTCCTCTTCTCGCTCTGATTTCAGGTGTAAATCTTTTTCTGTGTTCAGATTTTTTTTGCAAATTAAGAGTAATAATTTATTTTGAAAGGGGACGTTAAAGAGGAGGAGGAGGAAGTAGCATAAATACAAAGATGTCTGTGTTTTCAATGTTCTGCATCCTTTCTGTGATTCTGACACGAAAATCTGATGAAATAAAGTTTCTGCAGGACGAAACATTTGTTTCTTATTCCTGATCAAATCTTCCAGTTTATTTCTCCACTCATGAATTCAAAATATACAATTTTACTTTTTAAACATTTTAAATAAGATTAATGAAGTGAATTTCTTAAAGCTTCATTGAATGTTTTTTATCAGCGCCACCTGTGAATCAACACCGTTTGTCAGAATACATAAGTTAGTTTATTGGATCAAGTTAGCTGGGGAAGTTAACTTAGCCAACTGACAGTATTTCTCTTTGGAACTCATTTTTATTTTCTTTATTTCATTTTTTAAAGTTCTGATGGCGGGGGAACCGCAGCACCCAAACAAACACAGCGAAAACATTTTCTTAAATGGGGAGCAGGGACTGAGTCTGCCACGCCGTCGGTTCATACCCCCAAAAACTAGTCAGTATCCCGTCAGAAAGAGTCAGGAGGAAGTCCAGAATGCTCCTCTTCCTAAGGTCAGAGACGTCCACATCGCCCTCCTCATCCTCAGCGTCCTCAGACCTGGCGGCGGTCTCGTCCTCGCCATCCACTGGCAGACTGAAGTACACGTCCTCCTTGTTTGTTGCTTCCCTCCATTTGTTTATGATCTTATTCGGAAGCTTCTGGAAGAAATGGACAATGTTCTTCTTCTGTGTTGAGATGTCAGCGTTCTCCAGCTGGTCCAGAATCCTCTGCACTTCCAGCTGCAGCCTGAAGGCGGCAGACAAGCCGCTTAGGCTGCTCATCACCTGCTCGCACATCACCTGAGTGTACAGGCTGATGATGCCATCGTACAGCGGGGTCGTCTCTGCAAATCTGGCGGCGGATGACGGGCAGCTCTGAACCCGTATGGCCTGACCCATCCCCCAGGAAGGAGGAGGGAGGAGGAGCGACCTGAGCAGATGTTTCACAACGGCTTCAGAGAACCAGAGAACCTGCTCAGAAGGACTGACGGGACCAGAGGATCTCATCAGGGAAAAGTTGGACAGTTTGCCCTCACTGATCAGATCCTCCAGTCTGATCCGAGTTGAGTTGTTGCAGACCTGGATCTGATCCAGTAGACTCCTTACAGTCTGGACTCTCTGGACCACTTTGGAGTCCTCAAACTCTACCGTCTTGTCTCTCAGGTTGGACAGAAGTACAGACACAGTCTTCTGGACCTTTTCCAGTTCCTGTTTCTTTGCCTCGTCTTTGTAGCGGCAGAGAAACTCTCGCAGTTTCTCCTGCAGGGCGACTTTCGTCTCCGCCGCCACCGCATCCACTCGCTCCTCGCTGACATTGGCCTTTTTGTGTCGCCACAGTGGAAACTTTGATTTCTTGTTCCAACATATTTCCTTCACGGCGTCGACTACGATGTCCAACATGTCTGAGGAGACAGATTCCAACGTTGGCAGGGATGATCTGTGCAGATCGCTCATCAGACTGAAGCTCCGCGGAGAAAACAAGACCAAGAACTTGGCAAGAAGACTCTTTAGTACCTGAAGACAAGAGCCCCAAGACTCGGACAGGTCCCTGCTGACCTTCTCAGAGGACACGAGTAATGGGTTAGTCTTCTCAAGAGCATCAGACTCGCTGACAGTCTCCACCTCCGTCACGTCCACCGTCTGCAGCTCTGCAGTCTCTGAGTGCTGGGACAATATTTTGGCAGCGAGGTCTCGCAGGATCCTTCTGGACTTCCTGTCTGTCTCCTGACGGCTGCTCACGCTGTCGGCAATGGCGGACATCAGCTCCTCGGTTGCTGTTTCCAGGAAGGTGTCTTCGTCCTGCACCTCAACTTCCTCCTCAGTTACGTAAGTCAGAGCCTCGCCTGCCAACCCCAAAACCTCCATGGCTGCAGACATGACCTCTGACCCTTCAGGCACCGTGTGGTCCAGGCTCTGGGCAGCGAGCACACACAGACCCAGGTTCAGCTGCTCCACCACGACTGCCAGCATGCTCCTGGCTGACGGCTGGGATTCGGCCAGAGTTTCTTCTGTGATCTCCAAATAGTTGTGGAGGTGATCTCCAAGCAGAGCCGAGGGTCTACGGACAAATACTGATTAGATTACATCAATCTTTAGCTAGCTAGTTCCATCTGACAGCTAATGTCTCCAAAAAACAGTTAAGAGTCACAGTTTGGGAAAATGCTGCATTGTTAACTAGGGGCTGCGCAGACGTATAGCGGTGGCAAACAGCCAGTCAGCTAGCTTTAATTAACATCAGCTTTCAGATGGAACTCTAGCTAGCTAGTTAGCTATCATTTTAGCTAGCTATATTTGTGTCGGAGTGTTTTTATGTAAAAACATTTAATGGTTCAAATGTGAAGATTTGCTGCTTTTTCTTTGATTGTAATAATTTTGAGGTTTGGACTGTTGGTTGGACTAAACAAACACTGTGATGGTGTCGCTGTGAACTCTGGGTAATTGTGACGACATTTCTAACTATTTTCAGAATATTAACAAAGCAATCAATCAATAGATTACTGGATCAATGATCAGCAGATGAATCCATAATGAAAATAATAATCATCATCAAAATGAGCTCCAACCAACGCCAACAGTAAAATCCTGCTTTTACATGGATGCATGAGTCAGAACGATATCAGATATAATTCTACATTTTACTCATTATACTCGTACTTTTACTCACGTTCAATACTTGTAACAGAGTATTTTTTTTAGTATTTTTACTGCAGTAAAGGATTTGAGTAGAGCAGGTGTGTATAATGTGTTACAGCCAATCACAGGCCTGATCCCAGAGTCATGTGATGAGGTGTGTCCTCTCACCTGCTGCCAGCTCTTTGGGGCTCCTCCTGGTTCAGAGTGCGAGCCAGCAGCCGGAGGACCAGCTGAGACACGACCCTGATGATCCTCCGGGACACCTGAGCCAGGTGAGTCTGAGACACCTGCAGGACAAGAGACACCGGAGAACCTTAAAGGAACAGTTCCACATACAGTGATACCGGATCGATAATCGGATCGATAATCGGATCGATAATCGGTCTATCAGTGGAAATATCAAGAGTAATCAATAAAATAAAGAGATAAAATAAAACTACAAAAACGACACAAACGTATAAAATATAGGCATAAAAAATAATAAAAATAAGTTTTGAATTGTTCTTTTCTATTTTGTTATAATAAGAAGATTAATTATTCATTATTTGATTTATACCTCTTAAATTTGCACATTCATTTGATTTGATCGATTCTTTATGGCGCTCAGATCAAAGCTAATGTTCATGTATCGAATATTTTATACAAATCTATAAATGATAACAAATCAGATCCACAAAGTTACCATTAATCCACAGCTGGAAAGTAACTAACTACCCGAGTACTTTGAGTATTTCTGCTGCTTTATATAAGTGAGAAGATAATAAAGTTATAGAATGTATTGTTACAGCAGCATTCATTAGGATCAATAATATCAGATCGATGACTTTAGTTGCTTTATGTTGATATTGGGAGACTCACCGGCTCCACCATCCGGTCCTGGACGCTCTGCCACTCCCCGTCCTCCAGGCTGCGGAGGAAGGAGGAGAGGACGGCTGAGCTCTGGTCCTCCACCTCCCGCCCCCTCAGCACCTTCTCCTCCAGGAACCGCATCACTGCCACCCGCTGCTGCCTGCGGGGGGAGCGGGTCGACGGGTCGGGGGTCTGATCCGGGAGGTCGGTTCTCTTCTCACCGAAACTTTCCATCATTTCTCTCTACGGATGGTCTCACTGGTCTCACTGGTTTCTATTTGTCTCCTCGCGCTCACTATGAGTTCGCTCGCGCTTCGGTTCCAGTTCGATCGAACCGGAAGTCACTTTGATCGATAGAATCTAGGCTATATATTGATTATATATATATAGCCTATATAATCAATATATAGCTACTGTATATTACTAGATTCTATATTATATATATTCTATACTTTATATGTAATGCATTTATACTATATATACATTATATATAATAATAACAATAATATAAATGATATATAATAAATTCAGAGAATAAATCAATTACAGTTTCAGCTGTATATGTATATGTGAACTACTTGTACTTTTAGTATTTCCATTTTCCAGTATTTCCCTCTGAGGTGGAGGAGAGTAGAAGTAGAAAGTATACACTGTAAAAACTAATACTTTCATTTGCATCCATTTTATTAATTTGTATTTTATCTTTTTTTATTAAAGTTAATTTCAATTATATATTTGAATGTATTACTGTTGTACACTGAATTTAAGTATGTTTTATTTCAATGTCATAATACATTTGAGTCACTTCAACTTAATGAATCCAGTAAATCCACTTAATTTAACTTTACATATCCAATATAGATATAATTTATCTATATTGTTTGAATGAAGTTCATGTTATCAATAGATTTATTATTATTCATATATAATTTAATGTCAAGTAATGAATAGCAGAAAATAATTCTAATTTGCACTACTTTTATTACGACTGCATTACTATGCACTTTTTACATTTGTGTGTTGTGTACTGAGAATAAAGATAATACAAAAATACTGTCAAAAGATTTATTCAAAAAGATAAATCATCTAAAAACAGAAGTGTAGCTGTAATAGAAAAAGCTGTTTAAAGAAGTAGTACGTAGGCTGTATGCTGAATGTTAGCTAGCTAGCATACATTCTGTGTATTTATAGCAAATGTACCATCTGAGCATAATGCAAAGAAATAAATGAAAAGTTAATCCAATGTGTTATTGACCTTGTTAGTATTTTAAAACTGCAGGAAATGAGTTTTCAACATTTTAATTATTATTTTAGTAATTTAATGACCACATGATGTTTCCTGAAGAGTCGCCTATACCACAGGAAGCCAATGTTTAAGTATTTTCAGGTATTCGTAATAATCATCATCAATTTTCCTCTGTTGTTGTTGTTTTGACGTGAGAGACCCCCTAGTGGGTAGTAGTGAAATTACATATTGTAGGTTCAAGTAAAGGATAAAGCCCCACAAGGTGTTCATGTTCAGGAATTAATGGACAACCAAGTAAAGACAGTATTTTAATATGTAGATGAATAACTGTACATTCAGCATTCATTTTAATTCATATTCATAACATAACAGATGAAGATTTTAATTCATTCATTCAATGATTTCAGTCATTTTGTCAAATAATTTTACACGTGAATAGGTTCGATAGTAGAAACAAAAAGCAGATTTTCAAAAGAAATAACAACAAAAAATTAAATAAAAAGACTAAGTAAAAGAGCAATAAACACTTGTGAGGAGCAGGTTCAGTTTAAGAGCTTCAATTCAGAGACTTTTCCCTTTAAGAAATAAACATGGTGAATATAATCATCCTCTTTATCTCTAACTGCTCTGTTCCACTGTCACACTGACCTTCACTGGTAATATCTTCACTTTATTCACAGTGTTAATGTATGGAAACATCCTCTCAGTGAAAGTGTGTGTGATGGTGTGTATGTCTGTGTTAGTATCAGGATCAGAGAAAAACAGCTTGCCGCTGTTCCAGTCCAGATTCACTCTGATCCTCTGGACCTTCTTCTGAACTACGAGACCAGTGAGTGGAGCTGATGGTGACCATGCTGAGTATTTACCTCCATAGAACCGTATTCCCAATAATCGAGACAGTATGCGTCCCTTCCTCTGGACTGACTCTGCTGACACACCCAGTCCCCAGACTGTACTGTATCCAACCTCGACATCCCAGCTGTGAGTCCCTGAGTTAAAGCCCTCAGAGCCCAGAACATGGCGGTAATAATCAAACCTCTCTGGATTATCAGGAAGCTGCTGTTCCTGTCCTCCTCTCACACTGGTCAGATCTTCAGACAGGACGAGTCCTGGATGAGCAGTGTTTGGATCCAGAATCACAGGAGTGTAGGAGACCATGTCCTTCATCTTGTTCCAGACGTTGAAGGTCAGGTTGCCCAGGTGTTTGGCCTCGTCTATCAGAGCTCCTGAGGGCAGCTGTGGATCCTCCAGCAGGGGGCGCTGCTGGACTTTTTCCACTTTCTTGTAGTTGTTCAGGAATGAGACGTCTTCAGCTCTCAGCTCCTCCTCTGTGGCTCTGACTGTGTCTGAAAGAGCTGCTATCTCTCTGCTCAGGGCCTCCATCTTCTCCTTCATCATCTGACTCTTCTGCTCCTCTTCCTCCCTCAGTGCAGCCAGCCTGGCCTCCTCTTCCACTTCTAGAAACTGGTGAAGCTTCTTAAACTGCTCCTTAATCAGCCTCTCTGTGCGTCGGGCCTGGACCTTCATGTGTTCTGCTGTTTGATCAAACTTCACTTTAACTTCTTCACAAACCTTTAACTTCTCCTTTAAGGGCTCTAGAGATTTCTGGAGCTCCTCTTTGTGATCCTGTGCAGCTTCATCGATGGGTCTGAATCTGTGGTTGGTGTGTTTTTTTGAATCTCTGCAGACGAGACACACTGGTTGCTGATGGTCCAGACAGAAGAGTTTGAGTTTCTCAGAGTGCAGACTGCAGAGAGCCTCTGAAGATCTCTGATCTCTCTCCTGTAAGAAACTCTCACACAGGTTCTTTAAAGCCAGGTTTAAAGGAGGTTCCCTCAAAGATCTTCTCTTACAAACTGGACACTCACGTGTTGGTTTCTCCTTCCACCAGCTCTTCAGACAGTCTTTACAGAAGCTGTGGCTGCATGACAGAACAACAGGATCTCTAAAGACCTCATGACAGATCGTACAGCAGAAATCCTCCTCTAATCTGGAAGCCATTTTGTCTCTGAGTGCAGCTGGAAACAGCAGACAGCTCGTTAAACATTAACTAATTTATGGTTGCCGCCCTGCTGTAAAAAGTAGCCTCAGTTACTTTCTCATTGAAATCTTTCGCGTCTTAAGTCTGTAAATGTTTTCTCATTCAGCAGCAGGTTGAAGTACTTCAGAGTACTTCAGTCCTCCGTCCTGTAACTGTTGTCCCTCAGTTGAAGTCACAGCTTTGTAATGAAGGTTAATCTTACCGTCTGTCTGTCTGTCCGTCTGTGCGTCTCTCCTCAGTGAGAACTGAACAGGAACAACCTGTTTCCTGGTTGGTCTCAGGTGATGTCATTAAGGGGCGGAGCTTTGTCAGCTCACTACTGTGTCTCATTTTAAAGGGAAATATGATCCATCACACTGCTTTGAGATCACATCACAAAGAAAATAACCAAAGCATATTCACTTTCACTCATATTTCTCTGACTTTTTTTACTTTTAATTTTTGTACACTGATAAAGTTGTGAAGTTAAGTGGGGGTTCAAGCAGGAAGACTTTCTAATCAAGCCTCATCCATTCACAATTAGCTCATTCATCTTTCTAATCAGCTTTGGCTCTTACTCTTTCAGTTAATTCAATTAGATGTAGCAGCAATCTCCTTCCGCCAATCATGTTGGGGCAATCAAACTTTAAATCTGTTCTCCTTTCTGCTGATTTTAGCTGCAATTTCAGTACAAAATCGTTGAGAATGTGATCTTGGTTCCTCATCTCAGAGGAGTAACAGGTGTTGATGTCGTTTGACCATCAGAAACTCCTCATATTCACTCTCTAACTAAGAAAGGAGAGATGCTAATCAAAAGGTTTACATTTCTTTTTTATAGTATGATAATACTTATAAAGGGGAGTTACTTACACAAACTTTGTTTCAACTATTCATTTTGTTAGGGTTTTCTTCTTGGTCTGATGAACCCTTTCCACTATACCTCCACTAGATGGAGGTTGGTATAATGCATATTTTTAGATTCATCTGAAGAAGTTCTGACAAGCTTTGAATTACACTTTTAAACCAATCCAAACCAGGAATGTTATTCATCTTCAGCTGTAAGTAGCACATTTGATAGATTAAGGACAGTACAACACTTCAGGGTGACATGAGATGTGGTAAGTAGAATAGTTTGCCAATGTCTTAGGCTTGCTGAAAGATTAGGAAATGAAAAGCATGCAGGACATAGAAATTAGAGGACACAGTAGAGTCTAAGATCTCTAACCATGGGGGGCTAAATAAAACTTGTTTTAAATCATTAAAGGCTGTTGTTGCCTCAGGACTCCAAGTCAAAACGTCATTCATGGTCAAAAGTTTTCACCATGTGTGATGTCATACAGGGGTCAGGAGGTTATGATATCATTTAACAAATAAATTATATAAATTATGTTGTAAGTTTGTGTTTTAGGAACATCCAAAATTGTCTGGATTCGGTACAGACTTAATTATCAATCCTCCGGAGTGGTTATATGGCCAAGTGCACTGATTACAAAACAAGTTGCTTCTTTTCAAAAAAACATTATGATCATTTTCTTTCATAAAACAAACACAAAGACACTGGGCTCTATCTTGCACTCAAGCACAACTTACTTTATACACTGGCGCTTGTATAATTCCTATTTTGCATTTGACGCACATTGGAATTTTTCCCTCCACAGACGCACGTAAATTAGGGAATGAATTTGTGCTCCCGGGGGCGGTACAGCCAAAAGAGGAGGCGTGTTCCGGCGCAAACGTTCCCTGGTGTTATTTTGCTGTTTCAGAAAACAATTCCGCAACAGACCAGGAAAAACCTAGTCTAAAGTCAGTGGCACTTATTCATAAGCTATTTTAAGGGCGCATGCTTGGCCATAATGTAGTGTTTGCACATTAATTAGCCGATTAAAATAATTGTTTAAAGTCAAACTATACGTACATCCAGCCTCTCAGGTGTGAGGATTTGCTGCTTTTCATATAATTTGTGATTTGGAAAGAAAAACTGATTTTAAAAACGTCACCTCGGGTTCTGGGAACTTGAGCTGCACTTTCTGACATTTTATAAATTAAATGATCAATCAATAAATGATCCTTAAATTCAGCCATATGTATCCTTCCTTAGATTAACATAAAAGCATCTTTTGATGATAAATAAAGCCCTCTAAGTGGAAAAGAAAATATTTACAGTGTGTCTACTTTCTGTCTATAAGTGCCAGTTCTCTGTCGGTCTCCTTGACCGTGAACCGCTCCTGGCGTGCGCCTGGCAAATCCGCCATTATAATAGCAATCCACCATGGAACAAGCGCGCCTGCTTTTAAAGGGAATGTGAGATGACGCTCTGATTGGTTTATTGCATGTTATGCCCAAACCACACCTATGACTAATGTAGCTACTTCAGACCAACCCATTTTAGATTTGCGTCGGGCACAAGAGTCATTTATCCTGCCGGCATAATAGCAACAGCGACTGAGATCCGCCCATAAAGCTACTTGCGTTTCGCGTTTGATACTTGCGTTTCAAATCGTTAAGATAGAGGCCACTGTGTCAGTTTGACAATCCCTTAATTGTAGGTGAGCACACTAAAAGATCGTCAACGTATTGAACAAGGGTTTACAGCTACAGCTACAGACGGTGCTTGCCATACAAGGCTTACTTGTAGGTGTGTTCAGGAAGACAGTCTTATCATATACTGTATGTATATTTTGGTGCAAATTGTACAAAAAAAGAACAACTTCCTGTTTCTTGGCAATACATTGATTTTAGAGACCACGCCACGGACATGCCCTTTGACAAAAACTCCCAAATAGCACAACTTTTAATCAAGCTGGCCATTAGGTTACACTGATAAAATCTAGAGTCGATTCAATCAATTCCCTGGAGGGGTTTGTTAAAATACAACACGCGCAAATCTATATTCTAAATCCAAAATGGCCAATTTCCTGTTGGGTTTGGGGGATGTGTCCAAGAAACTTTATTGAACATCTGGCCATGATCTAAGTCTGAACTGATTTTAATACATATCGTTGTAACACGCTGATAAAACCTTTATTGGGGGCGCTGACGAGTTTTTTTGCCACACCCATGTGCGAGACCCATAGAACACAAACATTTTCACCGTGACTAAAATAATAATAATAATCTGATACGTTTCTGACTTTTGATGCTGACCAACCGAGAGAGAACCTCACGTTCTGTCAGAAAGGACCAGCTCCAATTATTTCTCGTGAGGAATCTGATGACTTCCCTCAAGCTGAAGAGGTTGTCAAAGAATTGTGGCCCGACTGCTACTCACCACTGCAGAGATCTTAACATCTCCAGTGTTCAATAAAACAGAATCACTGTTTGAATGTAACTAAGTACATTTACTCAAGTACTGTACCTAAGTACAATTTTGAAGCACTTGTACTAGAATATTAAAACAAAATATAATCAATAATAAATGATAATATATTATATGTATTATTACATAATAAACTACCCAGTTTATGAAATTGAAGTCTATTCATTGGAAATGTAATTTCTGGAGAGTAACAGTTCCTGCGTGCAGAAAGATTTACATGCATGAATCTTCAAAGTCCAACATTAGGAGCAGATATAGCAAGGCAGTTCACATTAGATAACAGCAGGAGCTCCTCATGTTTGAAAGTGTACAGATAGACTTACAAGAAAATAAAAATGTCAAAGTTGGGTCAAAGTTGCACTGAGCATCAAAAAACAATTGTATATAACAACAACTGTTAATGAACATACAGACAAATCAAAGATACAATGATTAACAGAAGCCTGAGGGTCTGACCTATATCAGTAAAATTGTCATCATCCAATGAATACACTGTACTAAAATGTTTCTTTTATGCCTACCAGTTCATAAGTTATTAGCAAAAATGTAAAATGCTTAATAACTGAACACATAGTGGCGCTATTCATCTGAAGAAAATCACACATCATTCTGCTGGTGTTGGGTGTGTAGTCAAAAATGTTTGATCAAACATTTTGTACGTACAGTAATAATTACAATACAATGTTTAGAGTCACTGCAGACTCATTTGACCAATCTGAATGCTGTTTAAAACATGTGATATATCAATACAGATTACAGGTTTAAGTAATGGGTAACGGCTGATGAGGTGATCATTATCAGGAATGAATAGATGAAGAAACACAACAACTGAGTAAAGATGATATTTTTGGTGACATTTTACACATGAAAAGGTTGATAATGGAAACAAAAAGCAGATTTTAAAACTCAATAGCGACAAATAATAACAACTACCTGCTCTGCCTCACTGTCACACTGACCTTCACTGATGATATCTTCACTGGGACTTTATCCACAGTGTTAATGTATGGAAACATCCTCTCAGTAAAAGTGTGTGTGAAGGTGTGTATGTGTGTGTTAGTATCAGGATCAGAGAACGACAACTTTCCTCTGTTCCAGTCCAGATTCACTCTGATCCTCTGGACCTTCTTCTGAACTATAAGATCAGTGGGTGGAGCTGATGGTGACCGTGCATAGTATTTACCTCCATAGAACCCTATTCTCCATAATCCAGACCGTATGGGTCCCTTCCTCTGGACAGACTCTGCTAACACACCTAGTATCCAGTCTGTACTGTCTCCAACCTCGACATCCCAGCTGTGAGTCCCTGAGTTAAAGCCCTTAGAGCCCAGAACAGAGCCGTAATAATCAAACCTCTCTGGATTATCAGGAAGCTGCTGTTTCTGTCCTAGTCTCACACTGGTCAGATCTTCAGACAGGATGAGTTCTGGATCAGCAGTGTTTGGATCCAGAATCACAGGAGTGTAGGAGACCATGTCCTTCATCTTGTTCCAGATGTTGAAGGTCAGGTTGCCCAGGTGTTTGGCCTCGTCTATCAGAGCTCCTGAGGGCAGCTGTGGATCCTCCAGCAGGGGGCGCTGCTGGACTCTTTCCACTGCAGCCTTGTAGTTGTTCAGGAATGAGACGTCTTCAGCTCTCAGCTCCTCCTCTGTGGCTCTGACTGTGTCTGAAAGAGCTGCTATCTCACTGCTCAGGGCCTCCATCTTCTCCTTCATCATCTGACTCTTCTGTTCCTCTTCCTCACTCAGAGCAGCCAGCCTGGCCTCCTCTTCCTCTTCTAGAAACTGGTGAAGCTTCTTAAACTGCTCCTTAATCAGCCTCTCTGTGCGTCGGGCCTGGACCTTCATGTGTTCTGCTATTTGATCAAACTTCACTTTAACTCCTTCACAAACCTTTAACTTCTCCTTTAAGGGCTGCAAAGTTTCCTGAAGTTTCTTCTTGTGTTGTCGTGCAGCTTCATCGATGGGTCTGAATTTGTGGTTGGTATGTTTTTTTGAATCTCTGCAGACGAGACACACTGGCTGCTGATGGTCCAGACAGAAGAGTTTGAGTTTCTCAGAGTGCAGACTGCAGAGAGCCTCTGAAGATCTCTGATCTCTCTCCTGTAAGAAACTCTCACACAGGTTCTTTAAAGCCAGGTTTAAAGGAGGTTCCCTCAAAGATCTTCTCTTACAAACTGGACACTCACATGTTGGTTTCTCTGTCCACCAGCTCTTTAGACAGTCTTTACAGAAGCTGTGGCTGCATGACAGAACAAGAGGATCTCTAAAGATTTCATTACAGACAGGACAGCAGAGATCCTCCTCTAATCTGGAAGCCATTTTTTCTCTGGAAACAGCAAGCAGCACGTTATGACAGGAAGTCAGTGTTTCCCCGCTGTGTTGTAAAAAGTCCCCTCAGTTACTTTCACTTTGAGTCTTTGAGAGTTTACATTCAGCAGCAGGTTAAAGTACTTCAGAGTTCTTCAGAGTACTTCTGTCCTCCGTCCTGTAACTTTCCTCCCTCAGTTGAGAGTTGAGTTGTAATGAAGTTAAATCTTATCGTCTGTGTCTCTACTCAGAGACAACTGAACCGGAACAGCCTGTTTCCTGGTTGGTTTCGGGAGAGGTCATGTAAGGGGTGGAGCTTTGTCAGCTCACTGCTGTGTTTCATTTTGAAAGGAAATATAATTCAATTCAATTAAATTTTATTTGTATAGCGCCAATTCATAACAGACGTTATCTCAGGACACTTTTCAATTATAAAACGATTTACAGAGACCCAACAATTCCCGCTATGAGCAAGCACTTGGCGACAGCGGCAAGGAAAAACTTCCCTTTAAGAGGCAGAAACCTCAGACAGACCCCGGCTCTAGGTGGGAGAGAGAGAGAGAGACAGAGAAAGATAGAGAGAGACGGAGAGAACAGATGTGACGACAGAAGGACAGAGACAGAGACAAAGGTGCACAGCAACAACAGTAGCAACAACAACTAGTGACTGATGGTGATGATGATGGTGAATCAAAAATCATCAAAAAGATGATGACCACGACCACAACAGCCACATCGATGGGGGACAATGAGCAATGATAATAGTACTAATAGTAATTGTAGTAATAATAATCATTATAATCATAATCATAATAATAATATTAATAACAATAATATCAATAATATTAGCAATGGCAGTCAAGCAGGACCATGGCAGGAGGCTCCACCAGGATCCAACCTGTGAGACAGACGAGAAAGCACAAGAACTCCGGGGAAGAAGTGAAGTTAGTAACATGCATTAATGGGACATGAATGAGTGCAGAAAGAGAGAGGAAGGGAGGAGCTCAGTGCACCATGGGAAATCCCCCAATAGTCTAGGCCTATAGCAGCATAACTAAGGGATGGTTCAGGACTCACCTGATCCAGCCCTAACTATAAGCTTTATCAAAGAGGAATGTTTTAAGCCTACTCTTAAATGTGGTGAGGGTGTCGGCCTCCCGAACCACAACTGGAAGCTGGTTCCACAGGAGAGGAGCTTGGTAACTGAAGGCTCTGGCTCCTGTTCTACTTTTTGAGACTATAGGAACCACAAGTAGCCCAGCATTCAGAGAATGTAGTGATCTAGAGGGGTAATAGGGTACTATGAGCTCTTTAAGATATGAAGGGGCCTGACCATGAAGAGCTTTGTAGGTGAGGAGGAGGATTTTAATTATATTCTAAATTTTACATGAAGCCAGTGCAGAGAAGCTAGTACAGGAGAGATGTGATCTCTTTTTCTAGTTCCTGTCAGTACTCGTGCTGCAGTGTTCTGAATTAATTGGAGCGTCTTAATGGACTTATTGGGACAACCTGATAATAAGGAGTTGCAGTAATCCAGCCTAGAAGTAACAAATGCATGGATTAGTTTTTCTGCATCCGTCTGTGACAGGATGTGTCTAATTTTTGTAATATTACGTAAATGAAAGAAGGCAGTCTTAGAGGTTTGCTTTATATTGGAATTAAATGACATGTCCTGATCAAAGATAACTCCAAGATTCCTGACAGTGGTGCTTGAGGCCAAGGTAATACCATCTAGAGTAACTATATCTTTAGACAGTGAGTCTCTGAGGTTTTTGGGGCCATGTACAAGAATTTCATTTTTTTCTGAGTTTACCATCAGAAAATTGCAGCTCATCCAGGATTTTATGTCCTTAAGACATGTTTGTAATTAAGATAATTGATTAATTTCATCGGGCTTGATCAATAAATATATCTGTGTATCATCTGCATAGCATTGAAAGTTAATGGAGTGATTCCTAATAATATTGCCGAAGGATAGCGTATATAAAGTGAATAAAATTGGTCCAAGTACAGAACCTTGTGGAACTCCATGACTAACTGTAGTATTTATGGAGAATTCATCGTTAACATGTACAAACTGAGAATGATCTGATAAGTATGACTTAAACCAGCTTAGTGCGGTTCCTTTAATGCTAATTTGATGCTCAAGTCTCTGTAAAAGAATATTATGGTTAATGGTGTCAAATGCAGCACTAAGATCCAATAATACAAGTACAGAGACAAGTCCATTGTCAGAAGCAATCAAAAGGTCGTTATTAACTTTAACCAGTGCTGTCTCTGTGCTGTGATGAACTCTAAATCCTGTGTGAAAATCCTTAAATAAGCTGTTGCTGTCTAACTAGAATGACATTAATAGACAGACAAAACATTTTTTGTACAAGAGCACATGTCCAAAAAGTGCTGAACATATTGGCTTTGACCCTTTCTCCTGTTCTTTGCCTTCCTTGGACCACTTTTAATAGGAACTGACCTCTGCAGACCAGGAACATCGTCTAGCCATTACAATGTGGCCCTTGTCAAAGTGGCTCAGATCCTCACGCTGGCAATTTTTCCTGCTTCTAACACATCAGCTCTGATGACAAAATGTTCACTTGCTGCTTGATATATGCCCCCCACTGACAGGAGCCCTGATAACCAGATAATCAGTGTTATTCACAGTCAGTGCTCATAATGTTATGGTTGATTGGTGTATATATGAATACAAATATATAAAAGAATATTCTTTGACAGGGGGGATGGATCTAATTTGAGAGAGGAGTTTAATTTAGTATATAAGTGTGTGTTTGTACAACTTTGAAGAGTATGTGTTGGGCTTGATCGATAGATCAAGTACTCGTGCTGCAGCGTTCTGAATTAATTGGAGCGTCTTAATGGACTTATTGGGGCAACCTGATAATAAGGAGTTGCAGTAATCCAGCCTAGAAGTAACAAATGCATGGATTAGGTTTTCTGCATCCGTCTGTGACAGGATGTGTCTTACTTTTGTAAAATTATGTAAATTAAAGAATATGTGGGGTGAAACTGTGGAACTGAAGCAAGTTAAAAAAATAATATATATGTATATATATTCCAGAGGTATAAGAATAAGCAACTGCTGTGATGATAATGTGATATATATTACACTACATGTTGTACATTGAATTTGGATAATTGTTTATGAATAACATATTTGTAAGGTGTGTGCACATATGTGTATGTAAATTTGTGTATGTGTATATATAAATATATTTAGTAGTAAAATGTATAATTTAATTTCTAAGAAATGGAGAAGTATCCTTTGTAACATGCACACCCAAGTATTGGAGCAGAGTGTTAATGGGGATACCATGTGCTGCCACTAGATGACACTCGTGTGAAACTAATAATTCACTTTTTCAGCTTCAGTTTGGAAAATAAATCAATAATCTGAACAGCTTTTGGAATTTTTCAGAAACAACGTTGTGTCATCTGCCAGCTGACTATTTGCTTCTCAAAAACACTCAATTGCTCAATATCAGATTTATTTTTCCATTTCATAATTCTCTCTTTATTGTTTGAATTTGACAGTCATTAAAACATTGACACAATCCATTGGCCCATCCCTCCAGCACAACAAACACACACATATTCAGCTTCCTCTCAGACTCTCATTAAAATCAACAATCAATCACAGCCTCACTTCATACACAAATGTATATATCTATAGCAATAACTGCCCCTCTATTGTTTGTATATTGGGAACAAGTTTGCCCCACATCCTGTCACATTTCATTGGTTTCCCTTTAACATTGTACAGGATTGTTTCTGGGGGGCTATATGACAATAGTTAATTTACATTTTGTTGCTGCTGTCATTATTAATCATATTAGTTTCTTCTCCTCATTATTAATCTCTTTGAGCATTTCTGCTTCACCCAGAATAGATATTGGGGGGTCCAGTGTAATTATATATATATTATATTATATATATATATTATGTTTATAAAGGTTGTTCCAAAAAACCTTCAATCTGTACATTTCCAAAACATGAGCACAAGGTCTGCATTATCTGAGTTACAACACATCTGGTTACTCATCTGGTTACAATATGTGAACTTTTGATAAGAACTGAGAGCATTTATTTATTTATTTATTTATAATCACTGTATTCAAGCAGGTCTAGGACTCGGCGCCCCTTGTTATGTATTGATCTACCTCTCATAAATCCTGACTGGGTGTCACTGAGGGTTTGGGAGAGTCTTTCTTTGAGACAATTTGAAGATATGAGAGTCAGTATTTAGTAATCATTGTTGAGGAGCTTCGGCTATATACATGTGTACATTGGACACTGTTTCTGCTGCTGTCAGTGTCTCTGTACTCGTCCCTCACACATAAACTCAGGAATGAGACATCTTCAGCTCTCAGCTCCTCCTCTGTGGCTCTGACTGTGTCTGAAAGAGCTGCTATCTCTCTGCTCAGGGCCTCCATCTTCTCCTTCATCATCTGACTCTTCTCCTCCTCTTCCTCCCTCAGTGAAGCCAGCCTGGCCTCCTCTTCCTCTTCTAGAAACTGGCGAAGCTTCTTAAACTGCTCCTTAATCAGCCTCTCTGTGCGTCGGGCCTGGACCTTCATGTGTTCTGCTGTTTGATCAAACTTCACTTTAACTCCTTCACAAACCTTTAACTTCTCCTTTAAGGGCTCTAGAGATTTCTGGAGCTCCTCTTTGTGATCCTGTGCAGCTTCATCGATGGGTCTGAATCTGTGGTTGGTGTGTTTTTTTGAATCTCTGCAGACGAGACACACTGGATGCTGATGGTCCAGACAGAAGAGTTTGAGTTTCTCAGAGTGCAGACTGCAGAGAGCCTCTGAAGATCTCTGATCTCTCTCCTGTAAGAAACTCTCACACAGGTTCTTTAAAGCCAGATTTAAAGGTGGATCCTTCGAAGATCTTCTTTTACAAACTGGACACTCACGTGTTGGTTTCTCCTTCCACCAGCTCTTCAGACAGTCTTTACAGAAGCTGTGGCTGCATGACAGAACAACAGGATCTCTAAAGACCTCATGACAGACCGGACAGCAGAGACCCTGCTTGAACTCGCACTTAACTTTATAACTTTTTTTTCTAACTACAAAAATTAAAAGTAAAAACAGTCACAGAAATATGAGTGAAAGTGAATTTGCTCTGGTTGTTTTCTTTGTGACGTGATCTCAGAGCAGTGTGATGGATCATATTTCCCTTTAAAATGAGACACAGCAGTCAGCTGACAAAGCTCCGCCCCTTAATGACATCACCTGAGACCAACCAGGAGTGCAGCTGGAAACAGCAGACAGCATGTTAAGACAGGAAGTCAGTTATGGTTCCCGCCCTGCTGTAAAAAGTTGGCACAGTTACTTTCACTTTGAGTCTTTGAGAGTTTTTACAGTCAGCAGCAGGTTGAAGAACTTCAGAGTACTTCAGAGTACTTCAGAGTACTGGTTTAAATCCTGTTCAAAACAAATTAAGGAGAAAGTCAAAAACAATCAGTGAGCTTAATAAAGTCAAAGTTAGATTTCACTCCACAAGTCTTTTGAATCTTCTAGTTAGATGTTTTTTTTACAGCGATAAAAAAGTTGTTTTACAGGAAGAGAAAATAATTGGATTTTATATAAAAATACAAAGAAATGTTATTTGTGAATGTTTTTGTCAGATATTGTTAAATATGGGAACAATGTGACTGAGGATCTTAAAAGGTTAAAGATCATTTTTCATCTCACCTGAACTTTAATATTCCTGATATTAATGTCAGTGTTGTGTGTCTTTAATACTGCTAGCTGTTAGCACTGATAGCTTTTAGTATTGTTAGCTGTTAGCACTGTTAGCTTTTAGTATTATTAGCTGTTAATATTGTTAGCCTTTAGCATTATTAGCTGTTAGTACTGTGACCTTTTAGCACTGTTAGCTGTTAGAACTGTTAGCACTGTTAGCCTTTAGCACAGTAAGCTGTTAGCACTGTAGGCACAAGATGGCTGGCGTTGGCAGAAATTCAGCTTGTGATGCTATAACTGAATTAAAGTATTTTAATTAAAGTCTTTAATGAAAATGAATATAGATTCTGTGACGGCGGTTAAAGTAAAACTCAAGTTTCCTCCAGCAGAGACACAACTCGTGTTACTTTTGACATGTTTCACAACGTGTCCAATTTCGACAACAGCAGGAACACTTTATTTTACAGGTCTGTCATTTTTCCGTCATTGCTCACAAGGTTCCTGAACACAACTTGATCTGGTTCCAACAACAGGGACAATCTAAAGTTCAACTGAAGCCGCAACCGCTAATCCATGAATATAAAATTAATCTACAACTATTCGAGATCAGTGATTCATTGTTTGAGTTTCAGTTTTAATGAGTTTTATTCTGTTTCTGTCCACTTTGAATAAAGTTACGATGATCTGAAGGTAAAATGAGTGTTTTTGTCTCTGGAGTCTGGTGGAGAGTGATAGTGATATTACGGCTGTTTGTGGTTAAACTAAAGGTCTATCTCTGTAGGGATCCTTTCCATAATGCTGTCAGACACTGACAATAACAACCTGAGTCTGTCAGTGGAACAAACAACAACTACTGTTAGTGGAACAAACAACAACTACTGTTAGTGGAACAAACAACAATTACTGTTAGTGGAACAAACAACAACAACTACTGTTAGTAGAACAAACAACAACTACTGTTAGTGGAACAAACAACGACTACTGTTAGTGGGACAAACAACAACAACTACTGTTAGTGGGACTAAAAACAACTACTGTTAGTGGAACAAACGACGACTACTGTTAGTGGGACAAACAACAAAAACTACTGTTAGTGGGACAAACAACAACAACTACTGTTAGTGGGACAAACAACTACTGTTAGTGGAACAAACAACAACTACTGTTAGTGGAACAAACAACGACTACTGTTAGTGGGACAAACAACAACAACTATTGTTAGTGGAACAAACAACAACAACTACTGTTAGTGGGACAAACAACAACAACTACTGTTAGTGGAACAAACAACTACTTGTTAGTGGAACAAACAACTACTGTTAGTGGGACAAACAACAACTACTAGTGTTAGTGGGACAAACAACAACTACTGTTAGTGGGACAAACAACAACTACTACTGTTAGTGGAACAAACAACAACTGCTGTTAGTGGAACAAACAACTACTTGTTAGTGGAACAAACAACTGCTGTTAGTGGGACAAACAACGACTACTGTTAGTGGAACAAACAACAACTACTGTAAGTGGGACAAACAACAACAACTGCTGTTAGTGGAACAAACAACAACTACTGTTAGTGGAACAAAAAACAACTACTGTTAGTGGAACAAACAACGACTACTGTTAGTGGGACAAACAACAACAACTACTGTTAGTGGAACAAACAACGACTACTGTTAGTGGGACAAACAACAACAACTACTGTTAGTGGAACAAACAACAACTACTGTTAGTGGGACAAACAACAACAACTACTGTTAGTGGGACAAACAACAACAACTACTGTTAGTGGTACAAACAACAACTACTGTTAGTGGAACAAACGACGACTACTGTTAGTGGGACAAACAACAACAACTACTGTTAGTGGGACAAACAACTACTGTTAGTGGAACAAACAACAACTACTGTTAGTGGAACAAACAACGACTACTGTTAGTGGGACAAACAACAACTACTGTTAGTGGAACAAACAACAACTACTGTTAGTGGGACAAACAACAACAACTACTGTTAGTGGAACAAACAACAACTACTGTTAGTGGAACAAACAACGACTACTGTTAGTGGGACAAACAACAACAACTAGTGTTAGTGGAACAAACAACCACTACTGTTAGTGGACGAAGTGTTAGCTAACGCCATGATGTCGCTATAGCAACTCATTTCACTACATGTAACTCATTGAATTAAAGATTTATTTTGACCAAACAAGAGTTGGTGATTGTTGTAAAGACTAACAACATACGGTTTTGGTGAGGGTTAGGGTTAGGGTTTTTTTGTTTGTTTGTTTTACTGTCAGATTCTGGTGCTGGTTATGTGATGGATAAATGTAAACTGATGTGGTGTCCTGCAGGAGGAATTAATGGATCGGGAAAGGATGGATGGAAGGAAGGTGGGTTTGTTGACGGATGGGTTGACTGAATGGATGGAGGGGTTTGGTGAGATGGTAAGAGGGAACCGAGTGGGTTGTGAGACTCCGAGTGGGGGAGCCGTCTCTTGATCCAGGAGGAAGTTCAAAATCAGTGCATTAAGTGTTTTTTTTGTAGAATGACCCTAATACTAAGTGTGACATTTTACATAACTTACTGGTTAATTACACACACACACACACACACACACACACACACACACATATATAATATCTTGTAATTAGAACAGCACTAATTATACTGCTTGTATTTCCAGCTGCTGGAAGCGAGGAGGGCTGTTTTAGCCAAGGAAGAGATGGACTTCAGGAGGGGCATCACAGTGGACATGATGTCTGATGAGGAGGATGGCACAGCTGATGGGGAAGCTGGGTGGATAGTTCGGCCCCCATCCTTCAGGAGCCAGGAGCTGTCTGCTCTGTGTTCAACTTTACAGAAGAGACTGGAAAATGACCCGAAATACCAGGCAACCCACCACAAAAGGCTGCATTATGGGCCACCCTCCGCAAGACCTGCTCCATCTTTTTATGACCCTGAAGCAGCCAAGAGACACTTGAGTTAAATAGTTTTAGTGTGTGACCCAGACAAGGGGAACACAGTGTAAAGCATGTTTGTTTTTTATTTTTATTTTTTTAAATAAAGCTCCTTTCAATATGTTCCTTCCTATGTCTCTTCTCTTCTCAATGAACTGCTATTGTGACATGTAGTTCTCACTAAATAATAATAGCAATAATAATAATTAGTATTAGTATTCTTATTCTTATTATCATTAATATTATCATTATTATTAATATTTGTGTTGTTATTCTTCTCTCTTCTTCTTCTTCTTCTTCTTATTATAAAAATGGGAGGGGCAAATGACCATATGTCCCAAAGGTGACCAATAAGTGAGGGATTTGCTGTCCAATCACAGGTCATTTTACTTCTGAACTGTCTATGGTTTCATCCAATGGTTGTTAGTTTCAGTCAGGCAGGCCAGACGATTGCGACATTGAAATGCTAATTAGAGCCATTCACACCTAGCAGGGGTGCTGCGTATGTGTGCTGGTTCCTCTATCCCGCCTTAACAACGTAACATTAAGGTGTGCTGCAGTCCGAGGATTAATAAATGTTAAATGTTGTAAAAGTTATACTGTATTGTACACAGTTCTTCTCTAAATACAAACAGCTGAATAATCATCACCAGTGCTCACACAATGAATGATGAAACACCTCTAGGGTGGGGTTTATGTAAAACTTTATGTAAATCTTTATGTAAATCTTCCTGTTGAGATCAGATATCACTTCTCTCTAAAGCAGAGGAAGTGAAGACGGTTAACTTATTCCACTCTTTTTAATCTACAGATTCATTGCTTTGAAATCATTCCTCATCCTACAATGGAGACACAGGTCAACAGGAGAGGTTTTACAGAACAAGTGTTTAGAGGTCAGCACTTGAAGCTGACTGATTTGAAGATGCAACAAGGTTTGAACAACCGGTACCTCTTCAAAGACAACATCCCAGCGTACCCCCGACCAGAGTTTTATGTGTCTCATCTGAAACACGACACCGACCAAGCTGGATTACGCGGGATCAGGAAGGATGATGGCTTCAGGAACCAGGCTGAAGACAAGGGTCCTCGTCTGCTGTGGTGGAGTCTGGTTGTGGGGCCTGATGAGATAAGGTCCGCTGAGAGGAGGCTCCTGGAGACCACCTACCCAGACCGGACAGAGGAGCAGGCCCAGAAGCAGCAGAGCTTCCTGGAGAAGTTTGCAACCTCCCCGGTCTTCATGGAGTCCTCCAGGCTGGGCTCGTACCGCTTCACCTTCCCCCTGGAGGAGGTTCTGACGGCCTACAGAGACCAGGTACTGAGGGTCAGATTGGGGTTTATCAGAACCACAGGTTGTATAGACGACCTAAACTAAACTAAAATTAAATTAAAATAAAACTGGAGTTTAGGAAGAAACTAACTGAAACATATTGTGTCCTTACAAAACCAACTAAAGTCAAAGAAACACAAACAGGAAATGTCTTTAGTTTTAGTTTCTGTCAGTTTGGTGGAGGAGGCGTTGATTCTGAAAATACAGAGAATACCGTGATGTGCACCCTATGTAAGTGTATTTTGTTTAAATAATAACAGTCTTTAAATTTTTTTTACTCTTGTAATAATAGTTGTTGACAGCGAGGGAAGGGCCGCCCCTACTCACTGGGGCTGCGGGGGTACTTTAGTGTCCGGTACTGAATTTGTAATTAAAACCTCTGTTACTGTCTCCAGTTTTGTTCCGGTGCTCAACCCGTCATGAGGGTGTTCAGGACCGTCCTGTACAAACAGGAAGTGATGTACGCGGTGCTGGTCCACAGCCCGGCCAATCAGCAGCTGTTCTCAGACCTTCCTCTGCTGACTGACGACCCAAACTCTGTGTGCACTTACAGAGACGGACACTTCATCTGGAGGTCTGAGGCCATGTGTGAGACACACAGGTAGGAACTGAGCCCAGTCACTGCACTGTCCCACTGTTATTACAGACAGTGAACTCACCACAGACACTGTCCCACTGTTATTACAGACAGTGAACTAACCACAGACACTGTCCCACTGTTATTACAGACAGTGAACTAACCACAGACATTGTCCCACTGTTATTACAGACAGTGAACTAACCACAGACACTGTCCCACTGTTATTACAGACAGTGAACTAACCACAGACACTGTCCCACTGTTATTACAGACAGTGAACTAACCACATGTTATTAAGACAGGAACTAACCACAGTCATTGTCCCACTGTTATTACCGACAGTGAACTAACCACAGACATTGTCCCACTGTTATCACAGACAGTGAACTAACCACAGACACTGTCCCACTGTTATTACAGACAGTGAACTAACCACAGACACTGTGTTTTTGTCAGATATGAGTGGCTGAAGAGAGATGATGAAATGATGATGGAAGCGAGCCCGGTTTGTACTCGTTCTGAGTTCTACGTTTGGGATAATGTGGCTGTTGCTCTGCATGTGGACGAAGAGGTACCTTCATACTCACTGCTCTCACTGTTTACACACTGTCTCATTCACTTCTTTGTCTTTGTTGAAAACTGAATCCATGTTGGAGTTTTCTGTTGATTCTAAATATAAATGAGTTGGGACGTCCCAGCAGATCTGCAGGTTCTGGGCAGAAACAAGACAGGAGCAATATACCGAGAAAGCTTGGTTCTTCTTTAGTTTAGCACATTGGCTATCTATGGCCTCCTCTGTAAGCATCTTTCATTAACTGCTCACCCTAACCCTAACCCTAACCCTAACCCTGTCTCAGGTTCTGCAGTTTGATGCTGACCGACTGAGAGAGAACCTCACGTTCTGCCAGGAAGGACCAGCTCCAATTAGTCGTCCTTCGAAATTTGATGACTTCCCTCAAGCTGAAGAGGTTGTCAAAGAATTGTGGCCCGACTGCCCCTCACCACTGCAGAGATCTGAACAGCTCCACTGAGTGTTCAATAAAACAGAATCACTGTTTGAATGTAACTAAGTACATTTACTCAAGTACTGTACCTAGGTACAATTTTAAAGCACTTATCAAAATAAAATATTATCAACAATAAAAGAACTGTATAAATCATTAAGTCTGTTTATTGGAAATGTGATCTCTGGAGAGTAACAGTTACTGTGTGCAGTCAGAATACACTGTATCTTTATTGATTATTGATCAGAATACACTGTATCTTTATTGATTATTGATCAGAATACACTGTATCTTTATTGATTATTGATCAGAATACACTGTATCTTTATTGATTATTGATCAGAATACACTGTATCTTTATTGATTATTGATCAGAATACACTGTATCTGTATGGATGATATTGATCAGTATACACTGTATCTTTATGGATGATATTGATCCTGTATTGACAGTCAGACTGTGGACATATGACGGCCTTTAGCTCGTGTTTCTAGAGTTACGTGTTGTTACGAACACGTTAGGAATTGTTCAAATGTGATATTTCTTAAAGGGAGTTTGGCATTATATTTTCTCCAGGTGCAGTGAGCTTCATTTAATTCAGACAGCTTTGTGCATTTCAACATTTTGTTGATTTTACAAAACTGCCATCATCAGGAAACTGTTTTGTCTAAAAGGTTGACTTCTCTACAACCAAAGCTCAACTTTTTATATTAGGCAAATTCACTCTGTTAATAATAACTGGAGACAGACGCATTAAGGGTTTTGTTCCATTTTATTTAGAAACAATCTCAGTCAGCCAGGACCCACTTTAGTTTTAGTATTCTTGTTTAGCCTACACTGTAGTGCTAATAATAATAACTATAGTACAATTAGAGGTAGGCACATACTGAAATGTAGTAATGATGACTGAGCTTTATTTCATCATCTCACCATCTGACGTTCTGAGTGAAAGCGTGTGTAGAAATGTGCACATCATTCCTCTATGAATCCAGACTTGTGGGGAAATATGCATACGCACATTTCATCACCATTCAGGCCGCTTTTATTGTGTGCAGCAGCCTTTATACACGAGGCCCAGGTGTATGGTCAGTGAGAGGAGGGGGGGAGTTTAGGAGACTGTGAATAAATAGCAGCCCCCCTATCCATCGGTACGTACAGGGAGCAGCTACACAAACTCAAAGCAAAGATCAACAGCACTCAACCAGCACCCCGAGCTCCACATGGTCCATTAACCACGGGTTAAAGCTGGAAGCTGCACAATCAGAGGGGCCAATTACACACAGACAAACCTGCAACTTTACAGGATTTTACAGTTTATTTTACAGATTTCTGTATTTTCTAAATACATCGAAATGTAAAATATCATGAAATAACTGGAAACCATAAACAATTACAGTTTAATTGAATGGATTAAACTGTTGAATTCAAGTTTAATACTGTTAATATATTTCTAAAATTATGTAAAATGAGTTACATTTACAGTAAATAAAGTAGTTGTGTAATTTTAATGGATTAGTTACAATCACATACTGATGTTAATTGATATATTTAGAGGAACGGAAAGAGAAGGAATATAACAAAATTCTGATTAAATAAATTAAACAATTGGTTTAATTTGTGCTGGTCTGAGTAATCCCATGGTACCTGAATGCCTCAATAGTCTGTAGGATTTAATGACAAATGCAATGACTTTACATAACCCACTTAATGCTTTAATACACACGTTCATTTGATTCAGATTAGGGCTGTAACGGTTCTGAAACCGAGACCAAAATCGCGACATTGTCCACGGTCTCGTGTCCAGATCCCAGAGACAGAACCGTGACACACTCGCTCCCTGGACCGTTGAGCTCTCGTTCAGACAGTGTAACTGCGGCGGTGGCGGCGGCCCGTGGGGTGGTAGCGGTGTACGACTATATCGTATTTGTATTGACAGTTGGTTATTCTAGGTTACTGTTTATTTACTACTTTAATCTGCTCCCTTTCTCCTCTCCCCACACACACACACTCACACACACCTAGCCTGGACCTGGACCTCCTCCTGTCTGTCTCTCCCTGTGTGTCTCTGCTGACTTTCTCCATCAGCAGTACGTTTCATAAACTCAAACTGATTCAGTTTTCAGGTTCACCACATGTGGGTCCAAACTGGAACTAATGTTAGTGACACCTGCAGTGGTGCGTTCACTGACACTCCGTAATGTAAGATTTCTGATTTGGTGAATCGTTACACCCCTAATTCAGATGTGTCTGATTCTTTTAACATCTTACCCTTTAAGTGCATCACAAATGTCGGCTGCAACTCTACAGCGCTGCTAGCAGAGTAAGCTAACTTCCACGAAAATCCAAAGAAAATAATTTCTAACAAAGATATTTTATTGAAACCAGTGAGGTAGAAAGTACAATGTTAGTGTGTTCATTACAGGAATCCATATGTCCTTAATCTGGTTCTACCATTCAGTGATTGAGTAATCGGGTTCAGGGTTTCTTCAGGTCGGACTGTCGACCCGTGTGGTCGCCTCCCATTGGTCCAAAGGTCTTTTGGCTTTTATCTTTACAGTTGTATGCAAAATATTTACAGCAAACATTAATGAATAGTTACGCTTTATATTGTAAATTCAACAGAAATAAAATATGAAAAACATTATTGTGGCATATTGATAGGGATTAGAAAGCTAGTTAGTTAGCTAGCAAGCTAACTTTATTACTAATATATGTCTCTTATTTTTAAACCATCTTTAAAATGTGGTTGTCTTTCCAACATAAATTAGCTTGGCATATAGCATATCTAAGTACAGGAAAGGAGGAAGCTGGCCGAGGTTATGATCAAGGATTGCTGAACTGTGATTGGAGCACGGAGGGGAAAAGGGGCGGGACTTAAAAGGATCAACTTCTTCTGGAGTGCTGCAATCAACACTGAATAAAAAACACTATTTTTAGAACTACAGATTATAAAATGAGCACTGAGGAGAATCAACACCTCTACGAAAATGTAATTTAACCTTCCATCAACGTTTCTCCATCAGCTGATCAATCCATCAATCGATCAGCTCCCACTGGGTGTCACTGATCAGTCTGTAGTTGAGTCTCCGGTAGTTTTCGGGGTGAACTCGTCGCTGTTGCCACACCTCCTCGTACAGACTGCGTACGACCGGCGGCAGCGGCGGGAAGCCGGCGGTACGAGCCAGCGTCTGACAGTACTCCCACTGATCCCGGTCCATTATCAGCAGGTGGTGCTGCTGGACTCCTCTCTCCATCTTCTCCTGCAGCTCTCGCTGGACCTCCTCCTCCATCTGGGCTAGAGACGGCAAAGTGACGGAGCGGTCCAACACTGCCAACGCAAACTGGACCTGAGGACACAAGACTGGATCTAAGAAAAACCAAACGTTGTTCATCTGCCTGTAAAACTTCTGCAAATTCCTTTAAGAAACATCTTGAATCTGATCTTCTGGACCTGGAGTTCCCTCCCCCCCACCTGCAGACTCACCTGGCAGTTGAAGTTGGGGAAGGGGCAGATGATCTTGCAGATACCGATGAAGAAGAGCGTGGGGAAGGCCGGGGGCATCATGAAGCGGTACAGCGGAGAAACCAAGTGGTCCTGGATCTCCAGACCCAGCTGAGCCGCGTCCAGGAACGGGTAACTGAAGTTGTACCCGGTGCAGAACATCAGGACGTCAGCCGCGCCCACAGAGCCGTCCTGGAAGGGGTAGTTCTCATTTTAACACCTAACACACGTCAGGCTTCAGGCTGACTGACCGCCGGTGATGTGAACCTTAAAAGTGAATTAGTAACCTGGAAGAGAATGCTGCCGTCCTCCTCAACCGCCACGACTGAACTGGACTGCTGAATCCCAGGAGGGAGAGGAAAGGTTAAACGAGGGCGACTGTGACTCAGAGTCACCTGGAGAGAGAGAGAGAGAGAGAGAGAGAGAGAGAGAGAGAGAGAGACAGAGAGAGAGAGGGAGAGAGAGAGAGGGAGAGAGAGAGAGAGAGAGACGGAGAGAGAGAGAGGGAGAGAGAGAGAGGATGACTCCCGCAAGGAAATTGGATTTCCAGCAGCTTACAAAACACTTGTATAGAAAATAAAGGAGGTATAAAAATATACAGTATAAGATAGACAATAAACTCTAAATATATAAAGTAGAGATAAGAATAAAACCTAAGATCAATGTAGAGAACAGTATGTGGCATTGTGTTATTAAACAGTGGATCACTGACATTAGCAGAAATTAGCAGTTAAATGAAATTATTGCACTTAAGTGGTGGATTAAGTTCTTGCACAATAAAGAAGAAGAAGAGTGTCCAGGTATGTATGAGTAGAGACTGGAGAGCTACTGGAGACGCAGCCGTCTCCTACAGCGCCAGTAGTGTAATCCAGCAGCATTCCAGCTAGCTTAGATTAGCTGAGAATAGTAGCCACCGCTAATAAAGTTCGGCAATGGTTCGTAACCTATGACACATTTCAGAGGGAGAAATCTTAACGGCTACACATCTTCAGACGCAGCAGTGAAGCAACGTCCGGTAGAGCGACGGTGGGTTGTTTGTTACCTGGGCTCCAGCTTTGGCCAGCTCGATGGAAATGTCCAACCCGGAAGCTTTGGCTCCCAGAACCACCACAGACTGACCCGAGAACGGCTCCGCACACCTGTACGAATGACTGTGGAGCAGCTTTCCTACGTGGAGAGGGGACGGACATCAGTTTGACCTCGAGGACAGAGGTACGCCTTCCAACACCTCCCGTCCAATACACACGTTGTATCTTAGCTAAGCTAGGATAAACCTGATGGTTGAAATGTTACCGTTACTTTATTTGGACCATTAGCACCATGCTGCTAACTATCATCAGCCAACAGCACCAAGCACCACTCTCTGCTCACACTGATTATTAGAGAGACATTAAAGGATTCAGTATCTCTCATATGGAACCTTTCAGTTTATGTCAATGTCAGTTCAATAAAATCATACATGTTAATGTGGACTGTACCTTTAAAGTTCTCTATCCCTGGAACATCTGGGATGTGTGGGTCGGAGTAGTGTCTTAAAAACAACCAAAAATAAAACGACAGGATCATTTAACCTGGTATATCTGTGTATCTAAAGGCAGCACGTTGCAGCGACTCGAATAACAACAAATAATTTCATTTTATTGTGAAAATCCAGAGAGTAAACAAATAAACTGTTACCCCGAGCAGACAAAGACCGAGTCGAAGGTCTCTGTTTTCTGACAACCTGACGAATCGGATGATGTCACTTCCCACGTTGTCCTCCCCTCCTCGCCATCCGTTGTCACGACAACGGGCTTCACGTTCTCCACCACTGTGTTGAACTGACACACAGACACAAAAAACAGTTTCAGCTCCAACGCACACACACCCAGAAACCACCTTCAATATCCAGCCAGATGTTCCACACGCAGCAGGACCACTCACCCTGATGTGAGGCCGGATGTCGTGGCTCTGGCAGTACCCCTCCAGGTACCTCTGAACCTCCTGATGGGGCAGGAAGCTGCTCAGCTGGGGGTCAAAGGGGAAATCAGGGAACATCATCACCTCCTTGGGCAGGTTGGTCCTGTGGGGAGGAGGTCAGGAGGAGGTCACGAGGAGGTCAAGAGGAGGTCACGAGGAGGTCAGGAGGAGGTCAGGAGGAGTCAGGAGGTTTATATAGCATTTTATTTGTATGTTTTAATCACTGTTTATCAGCAGAGAGTGAACGGGTTGTAGTGTAGCTTTGTTCCTCTGCTGCCTGTGGACTGATCTCTATGTGTCTCTCTGTGTCTATGTGTGTCTCTGTGTGTCTCTGTGTGTCTCTGTGTCTCTGTGTCTCTGTGTCTCTGTGTGTCTCTCTGTGTCTCTGTGTGTCTCTGTGTGTCTCTGTGTGTCTCTATGTGTCTGTGTGTCTCTTGTGTCTCTGTGTTTGTGTTCTGTGTGTTGTGTGTTGTGTGTTCTGTGTGTCTGTGTGTTTTGTGTGTCTCTATGTGTTCTGTGTGTCTTATGTTTCTGTGTGTCTCTGTGTGTCTCTGTGTGTCTCTGTGTGTTCTCTATGTGTGTCTCTGTGTGTCTCTGTGTGTTCTATGTGTCTCTATGTGTCTCTGTGTGTCTCTCTGTGTGTCTCTCTATGTTTCTGTGTGTCTCTGTGTGTCTCTGTGTGTCTCTATGTGTCTCTGTGTGTCTCTCTGTGTGTCTCTCTATGTGTGTCTCTGTGTGTCTCTCTATGTGTGTCTCTATGTGTCTCTGTGTGTCTCTATGTGTCTGTGTCTCTCTATGTGTGTCTCTGTGTGTCTCTATGTGTCTCTGTGTGTCTCTGTGTGTCTCTGTGTCTCTCTATGTGTCTCTGTGTGTCTCTATGTCTCTCTATGTGTCTCTATGTGTCTCTATGTGTCTGTGTGTCTCTGTGTGTCTCTGTGTGTCTGTGTGTCTCTTTGTGTCTGTGTGTCTCTGTGTGTCTCTGTGTGTCTCTATGTGTCTCTGTGTGTCTCTATGTCTCTCTATGTGTCTCTATGTGTCTCTATGTGTCTTGTGTCTCTATGTGTCTCTGTGTGTCTCTGTGTGTCTCTATGTGTCTCTGTGTGTCTCTATGTGTCTCTGTGTGTCTCTGTGTGTCTCTATGTGTCTCTGTGTGTCTCTGTGTGTCTCTCTGTGTCTCTCTGTGTCTCTATGTGTCTCTGTGTCTCTCTGTGTCTCTGTGTGTCTCTATGTGTGTCTCTGTGTGTCTCTGTGTGTCTCTCTGTGTCTCTCTGTGTCTCTGTGTCTCTGTGTGTCTCTGTGTCTCTCTGTGTCTCTCTGTGTCTCTCTGTGTGTCTCTGTGTGTCTCTGTGTGTCTCTGTGTCTCTATGTGTCTCTGTGTCTCTATGTAGGGATGAGGGTCAAAGGTTGTGACTGTGACCTACAGTTTAATGAAGGTTACATACAGGATCTGTAAGAAGGGTTCTGTTTGTACCGGCGGTTCTTACATGAGGTCCAACAGCACCGATCAACCATAAAGAACCTTTAAGTACAACAGTCCCACCTGAGGTCTCGGTACATGCTGCTGTGAATCGGCCGCCCGTTGTCGTTCGTCCCCACGCGTTCATCGTAACACCAGGTGCCACCGACGTTCTCCGTCAGCTCGAACACCACCGGGGGGGCGAAGCTGTTCCGGCGGGACAGGATGTGTCTGGCTGCGCAGAGTCCCGCCGCCCCGGCACCGACCACCGCCACCCGAGGCAGCATCATCCACATCCTGAGAGAGAGAGAGAGAGACAGAGAGAGAGAGAGAGAGAGGAGAGGCAGAGAGAGAGAGAGAGAGAGAGTGAGTCTGCGGCCTTTACTGTTTTCCCTCTCTCTCTCTCTCTCTCTCTCTCTGTCTCTCTCTCTCTCTCTCTCTCTCTCTCTCTCTCTCTCTCTCTGTCTCTGTCTCTCTCTCTCTCTCTCTCTCTCTCTCTCTCTCTCTCTCTGTATGATGTAACACTGTACATATTGCCAAAGCAAGCGTTTGGAATTAAAAATAATAATAATAACAATAAAGGAAAACAATATTTACAATAAATATATATATACTGTTGGTAACACTGTAACTATGATTGACTCAATCACAATCAATCAATCTCACTTCTTCACATTCATGTGTGTTTTTATTTATTATACACAATTCAACAGGCACAATAACTTGTTTTATTATTAATTGTAAAAACAAACATTTTAACAGGAGAAAGCCTTAAAGTGCTCGTAGGAAGAGAACATGAACAGCTGTGTTTATGGAATATACACAGAACCTGTTTATGGACTTATTGAGAGCTGTCTGACTTTATTCAGGGTTTGTGACCTCATACAACTGATGTATACAACATTTTAAATCATCTGTTTTGGTCTAAACACAATCATCATGAACCTTATGATAGACTAAATCACTTTCAGAGTGAAACATGTTTTTTAGAGATAAATATCTAACCACTTTACCCTTCCTCCTAAATGTTTGGTCACATGATCAATGTTTTAAGGGCTGACTCCCCCAGTCTCCCCTACAGTGCACTGAAGGTTCAATACACAATGTACTATATATATATATATATATATATAACATCTATAACTTTATGTTTCGGTCAGTGGGGACAAGGTCTGGACTTTGACTTCTGTCAATCAGTGTTTGAAAGAACAATAAATAAGAAATAAAGGAAGTTAACCGGGTTGTGCTGAGCGTTAATTCAGGTGTTCATCCTGTAAAAAGAAAATAAAACTTCATATAAAAAGTTGAATTCATCAGCTAACAGGCTAACTACGCTTCCACCCTCACTGCGCATGTGCACAGACAACACCTAGCTACAACCTTTTTAAGCTAGCTACAGCTTGCTACGTAACTGGAATAAAAAGACACTTTTATAGAAAGTGATCACATTAATTGGCAATAATCAATAAGATGAGTGTTACCGTAGTCGCCTTCAGTCTTTATCCGTTCCGGTGTGTCGACAGTTCGCTTCGGAAATCAACGACACATCGCCGGTGGGACGACTGACGCTGTAACACCGACACGTCGTCACACGGTCACAGAGGTGTAACCATAGAAACACATTGTATGTGTGGGTGTAACGGGCAGAATGGTTCCAACGTCCAGACTGTTCCGGTAAATGTCAAACACAACTTCCGACCCGAATCCTTCACAATAAGAGCATCAAACTGTGGCTTTATAATGTATCCTAACACTGATATTTAAAGTGTTCTAGTTTAAGAGAGAATACACTATGAGGTCATTATTTCAGAATATAGTGAACATATAACTGATTAGTCAATAAATGAATGGTGAAAAAAATATATCATGACTAAATAAATAATAATAAAGTACATAAATAAGTGCGTTATGAAGTGCACACATAAATGTCTATTTTATTTCTACAAATCTACATTTGTTCTGCATGTTGAGATACAGACGGCCGTGTTTTCTCAACTCATTCCTCAGAATGTTTTTTATACATAAACAGAAATAACTTGTGTTGAATAAAGAGGACGCTGGTGTTTAAGGCAGTTTCTGTTTAACTTGTTGCGAACATTAAAGTGTCGTCACATCAATGAAAATATAAAAAGCTTCAAGTTCAAAACCTTTATTAGAAAAGAAAAGGAGAGTAGCAGACGTAGGCAGGAGGAAGAACTGTAAATAAAACTGTTGTGTAACTCAAATATTCTCTGTGTTATTGTTGAATTGTTCTCAACCAGCGACTCCAAGCGGTCCCATAATGTTTGGTTTTCACCATCATCACCTTCATCAGTGTGCAGCTGCTGACCTTTTCAGACAGATGTGACTGACTTTACAATGTGGCACCGTAAACTGCTGCCACATTTCAGTCACACATCCGCTCAGGAAACGTGGAACAGGAACAAAGGTCGAACATACAAACTCGCCGGATGGAAGGAAACGTTGTTAGCGGCCTAAAAGCTTAAAGCGGTGAATCTTCCAATAATCAGAGAGCGAGGAAGCCGTTCTCTGCCATCTTTGATCTGATTTTCAAGCCAGCTCATTGGCAGGAAACAATGGCGGTTCCTCGGTCACACACGATCTCGTATTCCAGTAACAGACTCTGGATCAGCTGCTTTATGGTCTGTGTTACTCTCAATGGGACCATCAGTTACTAAATGAACATCATGCTGTATGGAAGAAGACTGAAACTAGAGACTGAGACCAGAAACTCATCAGGAAACTTCTCCATAAGACTCCATACTATCAGAGTGGAGCTGCCCCCTGCTGGCTGTTAGAGACACTGCAGACCAACAGATCTGTCCACTGATTACATCCTGTTCATGTTTATACGTCACTCACAAGATTTCCTTCCATCCGGCGAGTTTAGATTTTGAAACTTTCTTCTCGTAGTACGTTTTTTGAGGAGATCTGTGAGCGTGAGTGCTTTTAAACTGAAATTCCCAACAGGAAGTTGCTTTCACTCTCAGCTGCTGTGTGTCATTATTAACTCTGCCACTCAGTACACATACACACAATCCTTTAACCACCTTTAACCATCTTCATCAAAATGTATTAAACACAAAAACAACATGTCCGACGTGTCCGTGTCAACTTTCCTGAATCTTCCGCGTTGAACTCAAAAATCCACAATCAGAGCTACAATCCGCGCTCCGACTATCCCACGCTCCTCCTCCCGCCTCCAGCGTGGTCCTCACTTGGCGGCGGCGTTCCCGTGCGGCGGCGCCTGCTGCTGCGGCTGCTGCTGCTCGGCCAGCGCCTGCTGCAGCCGGGTGCGTTTGCGGGAGTAGTGCTGCCAGTGCAGCAGCTGCTGCTCGTCGATGAACTTGGCGCACTGAGCGTTGACCAGCTCCTTCCTGAAGTGTTCGTACTGCAGCAGCTCCAGCATGTGCAGGCAGTGAGGATACCTGGGGGGGGGGAACGTTATTCCACAAACAGGAAATAGTGGATTTATTGGGGACTATTTTCAGCGGCGGAGGTATTTGGGGGGTCTTACTTGAGGAACTTGGCGTATTCGGGCTCCTTCCAGTACAGCAGGTACTTCAGGTAGTTAATGAAGGGTCTCTCCCTCAGGACGCCTCTCTGGGCCAGAACTGGAGACACACACACACACACACACACACACACACACACACACACACACACACACACACACACACACACACACACACACACTTCACTTCTGAACCAGAGTTCCCCACACCCTCTCTAACATCAAAATCAAAGACCCAACACATCATAATGAGATATGTACGATCGACACTTCAACCATTCAGAACCTCACAGCCTGAGAATGAACTGAACTGTCTCGCAGAGGACGTCAGATATAAAGAATCTAAATCTAATGTAAAGAATCTAAATCTAATATAAAGAATCTAAATCTAATGTAAAGAATCTAAATCTAATGTAGATCTAAATCTAATGTAGATCTAATCTAATGTGATCTAGCGGTGTGATGTAAGATGTGTACTACTATTAATCTATCTTATAAGAATCTAAATCTTATAAATTAATAAGAATCTAAATCTAATGTAAAGAATCTAAATCTAATGTAAAGAATCTAAAGAATCTAATGTAAAGAATGTAAAGATGATGTAAAGAATGTAAAGATGGAGGTGGGGGGGTCCGAGCCGCTGCCACTCACAGTTCAGGTAGTTGGGGTTGGCCAGACACTGGACGAACTCCAGCTCCGACTGGAAGCGGTTCCGGGCCTGTTCCTCTGCACCAGAGAACAAACAGTGAGACTCTATTCAGCAACAACACCAGTGTCAGAGAGATATATTTATAGATTTATATATTTAGATAATATCCACACAGCACTTTTAGTTTTCATTTTTTATTTATTTTCAGTAAATCTGCTTCCTGTTGTTCATTCACTTAAATTAATATTAGAATAAATGTTTGTGTTAATGTGTGTAAATATATTGTTTGGGTGGATTTGATACAACATGAACCTTTATTGTTCTATAGAATTGAGTCATACAGAAAAGTGTCTTTTAAAGTAGCTGTTGCACCAGACTCCATTCAGAAATCTGGCCGTTTAAGGCTGTGTTGACTCTGCTGAGGCTCAAACACACAGATTAATAAAGATTTCTTTAATAATCATTATTTCAGATGTAGTTGTTGTTTCCGGCTAATAAAGTCACATAAATAAATATCACTGTAACAACGTATGTAAACAAACAAACAAACAAACAAACATAATCCGTTTACTAACAGCTCCACACTGACCGCACCAGACTCCATTCAAATATCGGACCATTTAAGGCTGATAGATCATTCCCTAAAGGAAACTTTATTTCACTCATTAAAAGTTGAATCTTTACAGCTGCAGATGTTGTGACGTAGCTTACAGTTATTATATATGATATATAATATATAATATATATAAAATATAATATATAATATATATAATTAGTGGAGTTTCATTCTCTCCATCTCAGCTTATGCTAGCAGGCTAATGTTAGCCAAACCAGTAGCGACAACATCGGCTACAAACCTGTTTCCATGGCGACGGCAGCGGGCAGGCTCGATCCCGGTATCAGCAGTCAGTCACTGTCCGAGGTCAGAGTTCACCGTTTCAGTCAAACACCAACAAATAACCGACGAATGTTTCTTTTTGTGCTTCTTTTAATCGCCGCCATCAAAAGTGCGAAGACGTTATTTGCCGGAAATCAGAACTCTCTTCGCCACAATTGACGTCGCTTTACGGCAGCTGCTGTTCATGTTCCGGCCGCCAGAGGGAGACATTTGACAGCAAACAGTGAAGCATACCTAACAATGGATCCGTGAGAGCAGCATAAAAACAAAGAAACACAAAGAAATGATCAACAGAAAATAAACAAACAAAGAAAAAACATCTGAAATACGAGTTAAATTAACATAACCCTGTAGAGCCTGAACCATGAAATAATGTTGTGTTTATTGAACCTTATGACAAATAAAAATAATAAATATCAATTTGCATACATGAGTTTTAATTTCTATCATTTTTGCTACATGCGGTATTTTTGTGCAATTTATTTATTGCTCACAGTTTGTTTATCTTTAACAGACAAAAACATTTTAACCCATTAAACTTTGAGTTTCCTTTAAAAGTTTCCTCAAGTAATTTCAAACATATAAAAGAACTTTTTTTCCCTATTGCACAACGACGTCATACCTATTCTGTATCTGCTGAAATGAAGCTATCACGCAGCAATGGCAGCCAGCCGGCACAGTGGGAGAGGAACTTTATTTTGCAGACTTTTCTGTCCTTGTTCAGGCAAACATGGACCTCACATTACATGTTTTTCTCACCTCAAATTAAATTAAGACAAACATAAAGATATCCTTGAAAAACCACTTGTGGGTCACTGATTGACGGCCGCCATTTGGGATGTCTAGATTGAAGGCCCTGGTGCATGCATTCCTGATCCCTGGTGGATTATCTGTGATTATCCACGATCTCAAATATGATACACTTGGTGTCACAGGGTTAATTTAATGATATAACACAGGTAGTTGAGTGAAACACCACACTGAACAGTATGATATTCAGAAGCAGGGATTACAGGGAACTGACCTCGCAGCATCACAGCTCCTGACAGAGTGAAGACACGTGATCTTTCTGTGATTACAGGGTGGAACATTTGTTGACTCAGTGTTTACATGTGTCAGGATTTTCAGTTGGATCTTTAAACATATTTTTCACACTAATATTGACCAATTCAACATTTTTGAAGACGTAACCGTCGTATATCAAACAACGTATATTAAACAAACTGATCTGAAACTGAACCTCTTGTATTATGTTTGTTTGGTATAATTTAGTCTTTATAAACATTGTGTGTATTTTATACTGAAAACCGATAAAATTTTCAATAAAAACGTTTTCTTTAAGGAAATCCTTCAGTAAACTGACTCAGGGACATAATTTATAGATATTTTATATTATATTAAAAACTGTACAATGAACCCAAACAGTGAACTTGGTAACTGCAGGAAGTTTGTGTAAAAGGAGTCATTTGGATGATTATAAGATTATTTCCTGTTTAGGGAACGTTTTACACAATTCTCTGTTGAAAATGATAAAAATACATAATACAGTGTTTTCTTGACGCTTGGCTGTTGTTCTATTAACTCTTTAGTTGTTTTTTAATGCAGGACGAGGCTCTGTGAACAAAGTTTGTGTTCAGAGTTTAGATATTAAATAATAATCGAAACTTTAAAAATTACAATTTACTTTTCTTCACAGAAACAAACCAAATGCTGAGATACTGGCCAACTGCGTATATTTTTACCATTTCAAAATGTATTCATGCTGGGATGTTGTGTGCACTGCTTGTTATGCTGCCCCCAGTGGCCAATAAATAAATAAATTAATAAAACTTTAAATCTTAAATAGAAATGTAAATAATATTATAGAAATAATAAAAAGCAAAAATGTAACAACACCTTCAGTATTATGTTCAAGATGAAAACTTTGTTTTATTTAGAACAATGCACATGATATATACTGATATATATTATATATATATATATATTACTATTAGTATTATTGCTTTAATTACACAATCAGAGGTTTGTTGTCACACGTTTCTTCAAAGATCAGCTTTTATTAACATAGAATAAAACTGTTAGTAACAAGATTGTATAAAAGTCTGCAGGTTACGTATGTACAGTAGACATTCACTCACTCACTCACTCACTCACTCACTCACTCACTAAATAAAAACTTGTTTAAATAAACAACAATACAAAACATACAGAATATTTTCTAACAACCTTAAAATAATTCCAATTCACAGGGATAGCAGTTGTTGTATGTTCTTCTTGTATCTCACCAGGACGGGAAAGTTCTCCGATCAGTAAAGTCTGTTCACAGATCTGGAGTCAGTTTCTCAAATAAATTCTGTCAATAACATTTCCACCAAAGAACAAATACTTACAAATTAGAGAAAACACTATTATGTATAATACGTTTTCAATTTTTTAACTACATTTTCGTGGCAACGGTTTATAATTAGTAATAAGTAATACATTTTAGGATTAGGCCTTTATTAGAGACAAGCCTTTATTTCTAATTTCCCCTGTTTTATTATATATTTCATCATATTTGGGCTCCGCTCTTATTTTAAATCAACACATTCTCCATGTTTATCTATTGTCTTTATAAATGTAGTATTATGTCCATTTCCACATCACTTATTCCATCAGCACCGAATATTTGCATTTCCTGAAGAGAACGTGTGTGATTGCTGTTCGCAGGCACAGCTTCTGAAGCAAGAAGTGTTCGGGGTCCACATCTGAATTGGTGTGTGCTCCAGAGATAAGACGCTGTTTCATTAATGACAACAAGGTGGAGCAATTGTTGGTAGAACTGTATGATAAGTGATACTCACTAAACACAAGCCTATACATCTTGTTTGGCTTCATCTAAACATGCTATGCACAGATTTGGGTGAAGATTAGATAAAATATGTGTCTTTCCCCCAAAAAATCCAAAATTGTGGAATGTTTTTAAGGCACAACTGGGCGTGGTCTATATCAGTAAAATTAGCGCCATCCAAGCCTGTACGGAAATGTGTCTTCTACTCCTGACCGTCTAATCACACATCATTCTGCTTGTGCTTTATGAAAACTTGATAAAGTTAATATAAATAATATCATTATTTTATGAATTGAAAGACAGTATAAATCTCTGCCCTGCTTCTACAGCATAACACCTGCCCTGTATCTACAGCATTGACTTATGCCCTGTATCTATTGCATTGATTTATGCCTTGTATCTATAGCATTGCCATATGCCTTGTATCTATAGCATTGCCATATGCCTTGTATCTATAGCATTGCCGTATGCCTTGTACGTACAGCCCCAACCTATGTCCTGTATCATCAGCACTGACATCTGTCCCGTATCTGTCCTGTCCTCTGTAACTTAGTATTATTGTCAAATGGACTCAATCAAATCAAAATCAATCAGATTAACTGTCCTTACAAGAAAATCAGTGTCAAATCATTAGCCTTCTCTAAATCTTATGAAATAAAGTTTATCTCAATAATATCATATTTTTTTACTATTATCATATTAGTCAAATAGACAGAACTCTGACCTGTATCTACAGCACTGACCTATACCACATGAATTCCCCTGATAACACTAGTCCCTGCGAATAGGGCTTATGACATAACTCTACTGATGGAATTAGTGCTATGGGAATGGACTTGCCTAATACATTTTTCTGCCTGGCCTCCATCATGCTAATTGAGACTTGGCCATTATTATTTGATTACAAACTTTCATGTAAGATAGGTCCTTTGATAAACCTTTGGGAAAAACATCAGTAGTGAGAAGGTCCAAACATCAAGATGATGTTCCTGGTGGCTCAGAACCAGCAGTCACAAGCTGCAGCGTGAACACAAAAAACAGATTCCCTGCTTTGAAATTTCACCCAGAAACCCAGAGGTGACTTATGAAACCTGAAAATGTTGAGACAATAAAGTAGCAGGTTGTTTCTCCTACACAGGTGTAGAAGCGTTGGCCCATGATGGGAAAGAGTCCAGGTCGAACATGACACGACCCCAACTGTTGATGGCCAGACTGATGCAGCCGATCCCAATGATGTTCATCACCACGCCTGCTTTAGCCTGCAGGGGGCGCAAAGGAGGATACATTATTATTTATTATTATTATATTATTATTTATTATATTATTATGACTTCATGAGTGGGTCTGAGTAGTCTTTTTTTTTCCATAAAAAAAACAGAACTCACCATGTCAGACACTTTGAGGAAACCGTAGGAGAAGACTATGGCGTTTGGAGGCGTGGCCACCGGCAGCATGAAGGCGAAGGAGGCGCTGAGGGTGCAGGGGATCATCACATACAGCGGGTTCAAGCTTATAGACTGGGACTGGGTTGGGACACAGAAAAAATCAGTAAATGTCAATATACAGATTTACTACAGCATATCATATCCTGAGACAAACGTTTCACCATATTAGCACCATAGTCTTATATATTAATCCTGTTTTATTACCAATGACCAGTGAACGGGTTGTAGCGTGAAAGATAGACTTCCAACGGTTGTAACGTTTATGCCGGAGAAGTGCCTTCTCTCTCTGCTTCCGTACACTGTTTATACGTTAGTTAGTTTATACGTTTTTTTTCTGTCACTGTTGATGTCAAACATCTATAGGAAGTACAGTAGCTCAAGAGTGACTGAGTCCGTCCTCCCTTACCCCTATACTGTATGTATTATGACTGTATGGAAAGTGAATGAGTGTGTTTTGATACCATGGAGGCCAGGATAGGCATGAAGAGAGTTGCCGTGGCGACGTTGCTGGCACACTCGGTGAAGGTGGCAATAAGGAGGCAGAGGATGACGGCGATGGCCCAGGGAGGGATGGAGTGGAGTGGCGTCATCTGAGCACCGAGCCAGCGGGACAGACCGGACTCCTGACGGCACACACACACACACACACACACACACACACACACACACACGTAATGTTGTGTTAGTACAAAGTAAACAAAATGCTGCAGTGAACTGAGTCTGAAAGGTGTAAAGACTGATTACTGATAGTACACTTTACCCCAAATTTCAAAAGATTATTTTACCAATTTTTTTTTTTTTCTGAAAACTCTGTTGTCTGTCTCGATCCTGTTTACACAAGCGGAGTCCGTGAGTGCCTTTGGGTAGGCCTACTATGCTCCGAGGAATACAGCAACCTCAAGAAAGTCGCACTTTACATTCTGACAATGTTCCCTTCCACCTACGTATGTGAGTCGTCCTTCTCAGCTATGAATGCAATAAAAACGCACGGCAGGAATAGACTGACTCACCAAAATCTCAAGAACTGCCTGAGGATTAAAGTGACGTCTATTTCACCAGATATCCAGAAAGTAGTGACCAGTGGGAGATGCCACTTTTCACACTAGGTGAGTAATCTAAACAGCTTCAGCTTTTTTGCTTCGTACTTTTTTGCTCTGATTTGTTCCGATTTAACAGTGCAATGCATTGTTATCAGTTTCCATTTTTGGTGCCACCACAGTCATATAAAGGCCTAAATAACACGCACGTTATGTCTGAAACTCGTGTTTTACTTTTCACAGTTCTATGTACGTAAATGCCTATGTTTGATTTCTGGCCTGTTTGAAAGAAGTCGTGTTTTAATTTTCACAATAATATGAAGCCTATGTCCGTTGTTTGAATGACAACTTGTGTTTCAGCACCAGGCGCTGTCCACTGACTTCATTTGTTTCTGCATGTTGAGCGTTCACGCTGCAGCTCGCTGATCTGCGTATTCACTCTCAAATAAGCATTTAGATTGAGGACATTTTTCTGTTCTGGAAAATGAGGTTTCCAAATAAAGAGCATTTTTGAGACTGGCAGTCCGATTTTTTAAAAGTATATTTTATATTTTTATTATCATTCTCTAGTTCAAACAATCTCATGGGCAGATGTTTTTGCTTGCGGGCCACATCTGGCCCGCGGGCCGCCTATTGCCGACCTATGCCATAGAGGAAGTGGGTAAGAAGAGGATGTTAGTGAAGCTGACATCCATCATGGACAACAGCTCTCACCCCCTACATGACACTGTGGGGTCCCTGAGTAGCTCCTTCAGCAGCAGACTGTTACACCCTCGGTGTAAGAAGGAGAGGTTCCGCAGGTCTTTCATTCCTGCCGCTGTCAGACTCTACAACACCTGATCAATGTTGTAGTTTCTGTTTCCAAATTACCACCATACCAAAGCTTTTACCACTCACCATAGCTTTTATATCTGTCTTTATTTATTTCACTCAAATGCTGCTGTGACAAGGTTGTGGGATTGATAAAGTAATCTATTAATCTATCTAAATAGTCGACTTATCGTCGCATTGAAGAGTTTTACTCAATTCACTTTTCATTTGTTGGACAGCTGCAGAAAACTCTGCTCCAACCAGGACTCTGACTCTGGGGGTTCAGGCAGGGACAGGAGAGGAATGAAACGGAGGAAGAGGAGCCAGTTTGTAGCCAGTTGATTAGTCAGTAACTGTTAACGTTATCAATCATACATCATATCTATCAATACATGGCGGTTTAAGTCTGTTTTTGACTTTGTTATGTCTTGTCCAAAAATGTCTTTTGGTTGTCTTCCATGGACGTAGAGGACTCGTCGTCACCGTTTTCACAGCAAAGCTTTTTGGCAATTTACACGCCAACCGTTAAGATTGGCAGAAAACTGCGTTATCATGTGATGGAAACGATACAGGAGAACACACCTCGCTGCCTTTGGCCAGAGCGAAGCCGCCTCCCAGCAGCAGGACGATGTTCCAGGGCATCTTGTTCTGGGTCACCTGCCAGGTGAGCAGAGGAGGGGCGGGGCCTCGTGACACCTGGGACTCTGATTTGATAAAAAATATTTAAAATCACAAATCATCATCATCTGTCTGCTCTGTGTGTGTGTGTGTGTGTGTGTGTGTGTGTGTGTGTGTGTGTGTGTGTGTGAGTGTTACCTGTGTCAGAGCTCCTCCAGAAGCAGAGGAAGTGCGGCGGCTCAGAGGGAAGAACAAACAACAGGACGGCAACAAACAGAGAGACGGTCGCGTCCGTGACGAACCTGCAGAGACGATAAGAAGAATATTTGTATTTTCAACTGCTCAAATTAACTTCACATTCCACAAAAATGAACAGAGCAGAAATGTCACTTTCCTCTTGTGTTGCTTATAAGAGCAGATAATGAACTGATGAACGTCTTCACATCATTCATCATAATGTATTAATAATAACTTTTACTGCTCTATCCACTAATATAAGCAGCCGTTTTCCTAAATCAAAGTTAGGGGTGTGCTGAGTTTAGGGTTTGGGTCAGATCATGTCAAATGTTGATCTGAATAGTAACTGGTAACTATAGCTGTGAAATCAATTTAAAATGTTTATTTTCCCTCTAAAATGAAGTTGAGCACAATGTAACATATGTAAAATATTTTCCCGAGGTTGGGAGGTTGGTTTTAATTTGTAGTATTGTTACAACCTTAGTTTTTAGGTTTCAACATGATCTGTCTACCTGGTGTTTATTTGATTTTTCGACTTGATGATTTATTTTATATTTTATTTATATTGTATTAATGTTTAGCCTGACGAAATGTTATTTATTGTTGTTCATTTTTGTTTTTTATGTGTTGTTTCAGTTTTGCTTCGTCAACTTCGGGCTGCATGTTTGTATGAAAGGTGCTATATAAAGTATGTCAAGTCCAAAATTAGCAATTAATACTAGGTCTTTAAAATGTTGGCTTGTGAAATCCTTCTTGTAAGGGATCAGCTATTACTGAATCCTAACATGGTGCAACACTAGTTCATGAATGGGGATTTCACCATAAAGTGTTTGTATTTGTCCTGCGGCTAAAAGTACTGGAGTATTTCCAAATCCACCCTCTGTCTTTTCTGTGTCTTTTTTAACCTTTTGAGGACATTTCCCTGCTAGATTGCCGTTGCCAATACTGTTGTTGCTATGCACCTGTCTGTCTGTCTGTCTGTCTCTCGCTCTCTCTCTCTCTGCCTCTCTCTCTCTCTCGCTCTCTCTCTCTCTCTCTCTCACCCCAACTGGTCGAGACAGACGACCACCCACCTAGAGCCGGAGGATCTGTCCTAGGTTTCTGCCTTTTAACAGGCAGTTTTTCCTTGCCCTTGTCGCCAAGTGCTTGCTCATGGTGGTACTGTTGGGTCTCTGTAATTAATGTTAAAGAGTTCGGTCTAGACCTGCTCTATTTGAAAAGTGTCCTGAGATAACTTCTGTTATGAATTGGCGCTATACAAATAAAATTGAACTGAATTGAATTCATTCAAAGAAAAGTTTTCAGCTCAGTTCAGGAGGGAATTTTTACAAAGAATCTGATATCATGTGTGATAGTTTAACTGTTTCATCTTAACATCTTATTTATTTATTAGTTGAATATTATCAGTCCAAATAAAGCTTTCACAGTTCATCTGGAGCAAAGGTAAAGTTATTACAATATATACATGACAGAAGGACAAGGACAGTAGGTTTCCTTTAATCAATAAAAAACAGAAAAGTAGTAAAGTAGCAACTATTCTGATAATTGATGAACTGTTTCAGTTCTTTTAAGCAAGGATAGAAAAAAAAACTCAAGTATGAGGGTTGGCTGCTTTTCTTGACTGACTTGTCTGCAACTGCAAATATGTTCTGAGAGAAACATAATGAAGACAGAATTATGTTTTCCATTCACACAATAACGAAATGTTGTTAATAAAACATTCAAAATGATAAAATAGGCAATCTCATAATACTATCCTCTCGTAGTGACTTCAGCATTCAGGAGTCAGCAGTGAGTTGAGACACACGATTGACATGTAAAGGACCAGTTTGTAGGATTTAGTGGTAAAATTGCAGATTGCAACTAACTACATCCTGCTATCTGTACTTGATGACCTGGGAATGAGAACGGGTTGTGAACTGTATAGGGGAGACGATGGTGGCCACAAACGTAAAAGTCTCTATCTAGAGAAGAGCCTGACATGGACTCAACAGTACTGAGTACCGGCTCTTCTGATTTTTATCCACATGGGTACCCTTACTTCTTATTGAGTACCGCCATTTAGAGTTTCTGGTATTTTGGCTACACAATAAAAGTTGTGAAATAATTGTCTACAAATAACAACTTTGATGCTCCAAACCCCCCCAGTAAGTTCAGTTTTGTACCTCGGTAATTTAAAATTTAAAACCAAGCAATACTATTAAACTATCTATCTGTCTCTCTGCAAACATGTGCAAACAGAACTGAAAATGGATAAAAAATAGCAAAAGAATCAAGGTTAGGGGTGTGCTGAACTGGGGTACTGGTGTCTTTATGGGTCCAATGAAGGTGATGATCTAGATCCAGCGTTTGGTTTGCCATTCTGTAGAAACATGGTGGTTCAACATGGCAGACTCAATAGAAGAGGACCTGGTGTCTCGAAACACAACACAACGATTCTTATTTTCAGATCATTATACGCTACTTAAATACATTCATTCCCAATGTTACACACTGCAGCTTTAACACAAAAAGTTATTTCCCTAACCTTAACCGAAGTGCTTTTATTGCAGAGTCTGGACGTGAACCGAAACGAGGAGACGGGTTGCTCTACCAAGGTCTGAGGGAAATATCTGCTTCCTTAGCTGCTAAATGTTTCACTGGTAGTGTACATTGGGTTTATACTGCTTTTGTTCTGAAAAAGACGTTAAACCAGACAAACAATGAGCTATAACTCAGGATAAAGCTGTGTAAACAGCCAATAACTCACTACCACAGACGCACAAAAGGTTTGAATCATTCGTTTTGGTCAGCGAGTAACATCAGATTAAATTTTGGGTGATTTGGGTCAGTTATCAGCTGCACGTCTGAGCTTCACTATCATCATGTGTAATTAGGAAACATGTTGAAATGATCCGTTTGCACAAACTGCAGGTCCAAGGTGACCCCCCCCCAACCCCTCCAAAAAAACAAAACAAAACCAGGCCAGGAGATCATACATCGGTGTTCTGCTGCCTTTAACCTTTTGTTCTAAGGATAAGGAGAATGAACTCGTCACTCAATGTTAACCTTTTTTTTATGACTACTGAAGACCGTTGAAGAGACTGATTGAGACTTACTTGAAAAAAACTGGGGGCCAAGTGATGAAAATATCTAGTTTTTGTACTATACTTAAGTTTGGTCTCTCACAGGCTTCTTCAGTAGTGGATTTTAAGCAATTTTGCTGCCTTATAACATCTAACCAAAAGAGCCTCATTCATTTCTATTTACTCATATTTTCTCTGTAATGTGTCTGAATATTCAATACCAAAAATAAAAAAACGGTGGTTAGCCGTAAGAAATTAAGTCTTGTTTTTTTGTCTCCTGTCAGATATTCGTCAGGACAAACAGATCAATGGATGACGTCCTTCGCTGGTCTTGTGAGGTGAGGTCAGCTGGCAGTTAATGAATGAGTGGATAAGAAAGGAGGTGATAGGTGAGGAGGCGGAGCCAGGTGAGACAAGGACTGTGAGGTCAGTTACAAAACACTGATGACGCCATTATAAACTTCCTTCCTGTGGCGCCACAAACAAACTGTTTGGAACTGACCCGAGAACCTAAGTTCAGCTGTACAAAACTTAGTTGTCTGGGTCACTACTGGAGTCCCACAGGGCTCTGCTCTGGGTCCCCTCCTCTCTACCCTCTCTCAAGCCTCTTGACTCTGTTATTCACTCGCATGACGTTTATACGGATGACTCTCAAGTAATTCTGTCTTTTCCCCGGTCTGAAACCCTGGTGACAGAATTAATATTTGCAAGTCTGCACACCACTTGACAAAGACTTCCAGGGAAGGCATCTCCTGTCCATGACCTCTGTATTAACACTGAGAACTCTGTGGTGTCTGTGCTTCGGACTGTAAGGACCCACGGTATGATACTGAGATACCTGAGACAACCCGCTCCTGCACATTCATTCTCCACAACATCAAGAGGATTCCTCTTCCGCATGCAGACAATCGTCTCGCATCTAGACCACTGCAACAAACTCCTGGCTGGTGTGCCTGATTGTGCCATCTGACCTCTGCAGCTCATCCACAGTGCAACAGCATGGCTGGTCCCTCAATTCTCCCACACTACACTGCTTCTTCGCACCTTGCAATGGCTACCGGTGGCTGCTTGAATCTGATTTAAGACACTGGTACGTTCCTACCAGGCTGCGGATGGTTCATCCCCATCAGTGACGTGCGGTGAGGTTCATGGCTGGTGAGGCACTGACTTCATCAGAATCAGATTTATAAATGTAGCCCTCCTACTCAATTCTAATTTGTAACAAAATGTTTACCTTGATTACTTTTAAACAATTTCACATGGGAGGTGAATTGGTAAATATGAAATTTCTACGCATTTACTTCGACTAGATAATCTGATTTTCACTAGGGTGCAGAGAGGCCAAGTTCAGTGAACTCCCATGCATACTTTTTAATAACCACCTTCCTTTTCAGTCATAAAACACAATGTTTACTCTATTTGAACCATGAATAATTAGTACACACCCAGTTTCAATTACAAAAAAATAGGGGAACATTTATTCAGCATGACCCAAATAAAAATGTAAATAAATCAAATAAAATACCCGGGGTTTTTAGTTTGTTCAGTTTATGGTACCATGCATGCTGGCTCGCAGTTGGAGCTCATGTGAAGATCCGTTTGATTACACTCACAGTGGACAGAAACGTTGTTTGTTTAGTTCAAAACCTCTGTCCAGTGGCGGCTGATGAAAGTTGTCAAACTAGTCCATGTAGGAAAACCCGGCTCCTCACCCGCAGGTGCGCCGTCCTTCTCCTCCCGACTAGCAACGCTAATGGTGCTTTCCATTTCTCTCGTGAACTCGGAGCCCGAGTTGTTCTGCCGCGAGAACGTGACATCATTGCCTGGCTTGTACCACTGATAGCGTTCCAGTTGTCTTTGGGCATTACGAGTCGGAAAGAAGTGCAGCAGCTGTCTTGTTATTGTTTGTGGCTCATCTAAACAAGTTTTTAATTAAAGAAATAAAACAACTTTAACAACACTTAACAAACTCATGAACAGCACAGCGTCTCTTTCTCTCTCTTACGTCTCCGCTCGGTTACTCTTTTTAATCTCGCCCTCTCAGAGTCCGGTAGGTTACCCCATACTTATCTCTAATAGACCCTGAATGGATAATGACAGATTGACACCTGAATACTCAAATAAATAACAAAAACATACGACAACACAGAAACAGGTTACACACACATATATTATATACACCAGCTAAACTACGGAAAGTCAGGGGGGCAAATATTAAAAGTGTTTGAAACATTTGATTGGCGACATACAGAGAGACAGTAACACGCTCTCATTGCATGGCAGAGCACAGTTTGTGAGGGATTGCGCAATCCAAGGTGAGGCATAGCTTGCTGCTGCCTCACCGTGCGTCTCTCCCCCGTATCTGATTTTTAATAAGTTAAGTTAAATGGAAAATTAGTTCATAGTTTAAATCATTTGATAAATATAACCGTTTAATTTATTTGTTTATTATATATTGAATCTTTTTCCATGATGACAGGATGTCACTCCTGACCGCATGTCACTGATCCACATCTAGCTTTTAAGTGACGTTTCCTAGGGGGGTTTGGAATCTGTTTACCAACTAAAAAGGGTTTTATTGCTAAAATAAATTGAACAATGTGGTTGGTCAAATAATAACCAACTTATATTAAAATTGCAGTGTAACACTGATTTTTACACCAAAACTAGTGATTTGGTCAACATTCAGAGAAAACTAATAACGGTAAAAGGTTCAGATTCTGAACTTGTGGCCCGTTCTGTTCCCTTGAACATAATCAGAATAACAGAAGCCTTGTGCAGTACATGCAGCTTAGTACCACAGGTCAGACCCTCTGTTGACTTGACACCAAAGTTTACAGCTTGTACTCAGGACACGTTTCCTCTTTGTTTGTTCTTCACCTCTGGTTCCTGTGTGTTCGGGGATTTTTGCCTCGAGCCAAGGTCTGCGTTAAACAGCAGTTTGGGTTCATTCAGACCCCTGAACTGAATCTTTTTTCCACTTTACATTAATGCATGAACACATAGAAATGTGACAAATTTATTCAAGGCAGTGTTTCTGTTAAAAAAGAATTCCAGAGAGCAGTTTAAAGGATCATTCACTCAGAAACTAAACTACAGATTATGTAGATACAAATACACAGAAATGTTCACAGGTCCTATCAGTGGAAAACAAACAAGTTACATTTTGTATGAAAAGTGTTTTTGTTTTACAGCATGAGTGAATGAACGTCTGTCTGATTATCATTGCCAGAGTCCATAATAAATATTCTCCATATCCAATCTTACCTCCACTTACTGAGAGTTCCTCTCATTTGAGTCACAGCAACCATCTCTTTAACAAAACCTCCTGCTGTTCTGAATGTATTCTCTCTGTAGTCTCTTCTGACGAGCTAACTGTAAAATTATTGTCTGCTGCAACCGAAAACACATTTGAACCTTTTTAACAAGTTGGTCCTCTGTTTCCTGATCCAAACAAAGACAGAAATAAGAAATGTCTTTGCTCAACATATACGGTACCAAGAAATGTTGTTTTAATTAGTTATTTTTAATTAATAATAATGTATATATTTATGATAATATTTTTTATTTGTCTATATTGATGTTTCTTTCTATTATTTTGTATTTTTAGAAAACAGATTCACAACCAAGCGGCAACCTCTGTGGCTGCAAATGAAGCCAACACTGAAGTAACAAAAGCTGCAGTTCGTCTAATGGCCATTTGAGGCTGGCTCCAGCAGTGAGTCAATCACTGCAAGAAAACTAATGTGCCTGCTAAAATCACAATATCACAATATATTTCAGAAGCTTTGCAGTAATGTTAGCTTAAACCCATCTGAATCTGTGTATTTGTTCCACCACTGCCTGTGTACAGCCAGGGCTTTTCTGACAAATGATAAAGATAAGATGTACCTTTATTGATCCCCCGTAGGAGAAATTCAAATCACTATTGCATTGATATTTGTTGTATCTCACACCATAAATAACATAACAACAACAACATATACTCGTATACTCGTATGTTTTTGGTACTCACTCAGCCTTGGCGTTGAAGACATGGGTGGCCCAGCCGTCCACAAAGCGTGGGTCTCGTGTGAACCACAGCATCACCATGAGGATAAAGAGTGCCAGGACGCTGATCTCTGCATAACTCATCGGCCCCAAGCGCTGATGTTCTTCCCTGATCACTTCGTACGCCGCTCGCTCCTTCTCTGACTGGACCGCCCCACAACCCCACGTCCTCCGCAGGCTGCAAGGAATGAAAACATACATTTAACGATCTGCAAATAAACTACAAGTTGAACGTTTTTGAACAATAACCACCACCACTGCGATACAGAGGCAGGCAATCGATATTTCACAACATTATCAGTAATATCTGAGACACACGTGCAGGAAGGTTTTGTTTGTGTGTTTTTGGTGAAGCGACTCACTTGCAGCCGATGTAGAGGAATTGCAGCCAGAACCAGGCCAGAGTCAGCATCAACACCATGGTGGGGAAGGCGAACGCAAACCAGGATGCAAAGTTGATCACGTCACCGTTCTGAGGGAAGAGTCTATGTGGAAGAGCCAGACAGGAAGTAACAAGAGACGATAGATTTAACTTCACAACTTCACAAGCAGAAAAATAATTCTGTTTACTTTCTAAGCACAAGTAGTTGAACAAGAAAATACAGTCAAAAGCCCTCCAAATTTAGTTTTGAATCAAGTATTTTTCTGATCAAAGCAAAGATTACAAATTTGATCAAATATTCAATGTCATGCTTTGGTTCTACCAAGTAGTACAAACAGTTTTAAGCAGTCAATAAAATTGTCATCGTAGTATCGGAAGTGTTTTGGTACAATACACAGTTTTCACTACTTGTGCTATGAAAACATTTCTGCTGGTATATTAGGACTCACTGGCTCATCTGTCCGATCAGGACCAGATTGGGTCCGGTTCCAGTCAGAGTAGCGATGCCTCCAATGCTAGCAGCGTAGCACACACACAGCAGGAGTCCTTTACTCATCTTTCTCCTTTCCTCCTGCTCGTCGCTCAGCTCCTCCAACTCCATCTGGCAGCAGGCGTTCTCCACGGACACGACCACTACCACAGACAGTTCTAGAGTCATTTACAGGACTGATTTGCACATTTTAAAATGTGATTTTCTTAATCATGCATCAGTTTTTATACAGGTTTGTTCCCTCTTTGAATCTCCTCTGTGGACTGACCTGGCCCACTGTTGGTGCAGTCTGATGGAGGTTTGTCCTGCGGTGTATGTTTAACAACCTCCTGTCTGTCCATCTGACTCTCTGACAACACTTCCTGCTCAGGGGACATGTTGTCTTTTAGGTTGCTGATTTTCTCCGAGTTGAATTGTGTTAAGGTTACCCCGTTCTGACCTGGGGAGGAAACGTTCAGAAGTTCAATGTCGGACTACAGAAAACTTTCCATGTCAGTAGTTTTTTTATTGTCTTTTATATGATAGTGACAGCTGAAGATAGACAGGGGATGACACACAGCAAAGGGCCACAGGTCAGATTCGAACCCTGCAGCAAGGACTCAGCCTCGGTACATTGGTCACCAGCTCTACCCACTGAACTAACCGGGCGACATGTCCGTAGTTTTTAAGTCACTTAATGATTCACAGATTTAACATGATATCAAGGGATGACGTATGAATAGCACCCTACGGTTTGAGCATGCTGGACAAAAAGGGCTTGCATCCTATATGTATGGTATTCAAGTTTATGGAAATGTATCCAGATCTGTATCATATTAGAGTCAACCTGCCTCTTTTTCTCAACCCTTTCACTGGACAAGAGCATCGATATTGGTTGATTTTGTTAAACCCTGGATGTTTTATATCCATTGCTAAATGCAGAATGGTTAAGGTTTATAAAAAGGTGAACATTAATCCCCTGCATACTTAATCCTCTCTTTGTAAGGGACCCGCTACTTTCTGCTTGGGAGAATAAACCCAACAGAATAAATTATGCTGAATCCAATGTGGATGTAACTCCTTGGGATACTGGGCTGTTTTTTCTAAAGCAGGATATCTAACCTATGTGGGTCCAGCAGACAGCACAGAACATCGTTCGTACCATTCTCCAGGACGTTTGATGGAGGAGTTTGCAGGATACTGCTGGTTTTCTCTTCATGTTCCTGGTGTAGAACAGCACTCTTTCTCTGGCTGCTGGAGGAGGGTTCAGGGTCTACGTTGCCGTTGAGCTGATCCAGGATGGCCTGGACGATGGGGACCATCATGGCAGTGGTGGCCGTGTTGCTGATCCACATGGACAGGAAGGCTGTCACTCCCATGAACCCCAGCATCAACCTGGGAGACAAAATGTGATGATGCTACAAGAATCCTCATCAGAAAATGAAACCAGAGAACTAAAAACGGGACCAGAGGATTTTTAACACTCAAGGTAGAAAATCAACCAGTATGACCAGTGAACTTTGAGTCACTTTGAGTGAAGTCTGGGGAAACACTAAAATAATTTAGTACAGATGAATGATAACGTTGTTTAAACAATGGCCCCAATGCACTGCACACTCCAGCTGCGTCACCATCTCAATAGACAAATGTACATTGTACATGTACCGACTTGTGTAACGGTGTAATTACACATTGATGTATCAGTATTAACAATCATTAACACCGACAATATATAATAATAAGTCAGTCAGGGGCCTTTTTATGCAAAATTAGCACTTTTACTTACTTAAGTACCTTTTACTGATGATAATTTAGTACTATTACTCAAGTAGAACTTGTAGATAAGTATTTTTATATTGTTGTACTTTTTCTTAAACCTACTACAAGTTCAACAGTTCATTTAATACTGCTGCCTCTAAACCTAAACAAACATAAACAGAAGATTGACTATTTCTATGTAGTATCTCAATGCCACTGGGTCGGATGCTATTTTATACTGTTGGGCTTGCTCCAAACAATTGGCTATTGACAACCTGAAACTTTCTTTTATTATTCTCCAAGAGGCACTCATTGGTCTCAAACTTGTGTTAAATGCTGATAAAACAAAATATATGCTATTCATAGAGCCTAGAAAATTGATTCCCACACAAAAGTTCATGTTGATAACACTGAAACTCACATGGCTGGTCGGACCCCGACCAGCAGCAGCACTCTGAGCGCGATGCGTTTGTGGAGGTTCCAGTGCTCCACGGCCACGGCCACCATCAGACCACCCACAAACAGCATGTTGGTGTCCTTCAGGTACTCCATACACACCTGAACAACAACAGAAACAATCTGCAAAGGTTAGACACATAATGTCAACGCTTATGTTTTCTTTTTAATGTTTAAGAACAAGTTGAGCAGTGTGAATTTATGTACCTAATCTAATACTAGTTGATGCTGTCTAACATATTTACAGTGTCTACTGCCTCATACTGCAGTAGTTGTAGTACAGTGAGTGTGTGTGTGTGCGTCCAGTCTTACGTCTTTGGACTCCATAATGCCGAGGACGGGGAACAGGATGGTCGGCAGCAGCGCCGTCACGGCCAGCGGCAAAACCTCAGTGCACCAGTACACCGCCATGAGGGCTATGACGTAAGCACAGGCCGCCTCCTGCACACACAGACACACACAGAGACAAATATTTGAATTCTTAGGCAGTGTGCAAACTATACTATCGGGTTTCGGGTTTTTTAAGGGAATAATGGCAATTTTGGGATATTTTGTTTTTTGTTGTTGTTGTTGTTGTTGTTACTCCAGTTGCTGTCAGTGTTTGTTGCCATGTCATGTCTCATATGTCTTCCTGTCTTAATGTTAATTACGTATCTTGTACTATAAAATAGAAAAACTATTTTGTATTAGTAAAGAATAAAACTAATTCATAGTCCAAATGTAGTGATTTGTTTTAGTGATAGTTTTTTCAAAGAAGTCCTCCCAATAAAACCTGACTAAATGTTTCCATCGCTTCGTTGATGGAGATAATCCTGCAGTCAGCTGTTTTAACTCTTAAAGACGCTGATATATATATATATATATATATATATATATATATATATATATATATATGAATATGAGATAAAAGTATAAACATTATACATTCCTCCATGGTGTAGGAAAAGACAAAGACTCACTGTCTCATTCAAACAGCCTCGTTATGTAACATTAAACTACAAACACAAAGGACGTGGGAGAAAAGTGGGAGAAATGTGGATACAGACTCGTGCTGTGAACTCTGAGCAGAACCTGCACCTGCTGGACTCCAGGATCCAGCTGTGACCACAGACAGTGCAAGTTCTCATGACCAACAGGACCAAAGCACAAAACTACAAAAGCCTGTGTGAGTGGTGCTGATTTAATTTAATTTAAAGAAGAACGTAACAGAAAAAAATAGATAAATATAAATGTACTGGTGAAAAATGACTTGTTGGTAGCCCCCGAAAAGATTTCAAGAGATTTAATATAAAGAATTAGAGCCGGTTCTTTACTTTCATTTCCTAAAAAGACAGATTTGCCTTTTCATTTGCAGCGTTTCTGAAATATGGACGTTTAAGTACAACAATAAAGTACAAGAACACTCCGCTCCAGAAAGTACCTAAAACAGGACTTCCTGTCAGTGTTGCACAAATACTGGAGGACAGGAGACGTAGAAAGTCAGATAAGATAAACAGACTGAAACATTTGTGTGTGTGGACCTTAAGGATGGTTAGTCTTGGTTAAATATTGGAAAAGTCTTTTGTGCGTTCACTGTCCCCCCACAACTTCTTTACGGTACAAGAACGAAACACTTCCTGGTACACGTCCTTCCTCCAAAGTATAAAAGTAGTATATATATATAATTGAGGTTTTATGTAGAGAACACGTGAAGCTGCAGGTGAGAACACGGCGGCATAACAATGAGGTGAAATGAGCCGTTAACAGCAGGGAGGCTGCTGATAGGAGCCGACTGTCCAAACACACCGTCTCTGTTGGGCCTAACATTCATTCAGACATCTGCAGCACACACACACACACACACACACACACACACACACACACACACACGCACACACTCCTGCTGTGAGGATGAATCCATGAAGTGAGGATTTCTGGGAAAGGTTTGAGGAGCCTTTAGAAACTGGAGCAGAGAACATTCCTCTAATGTTCTTTAATACCTTTAGGAGGGATGTAACTAAGTACTTTTATTTCTAATACTACTTACTCACAAACATATGAAGGTTTATAGAATCGAACAGCTGAAACCATCAACCATTAATCAGTTCGACAGGAAATCAATGGCTGAAGTCATTTTTCATTACAATCATTTCACAAACATATAAATAAACTAATAAATGAGGCTGTATTATTATAGATTAAAGTTAAAGCAATGAACACATCAATAATTATAATAATATAGTATGTGTTATTCTTCATACTTTTGGTACTTTAAGTATATTTTGATGCCAATACTTGTATTTGTACATGTATTTCTGCCCTGATGAAGAACAGAAATATAACAGATGTGAGTACTGTATTTAAATGAGTACTTTAAAGGAGTACTGTATTTAAATGAGACCGTGTTTACTGTGTCAGGAGGTGAGAACTGTCCCTGCAGCAGGTTAACGTGTCTCTGGACTCTGGGCTCAGTGATTCTCAGTAACTTATGACAGTGAACTTTTAAACAGTTTGGACTCTGTTTGTTAATCAGTGACAGAAAGCTGTGAACGCAACCTGAACAAAGACTGAACAACAACTGGAGGAGACAAGCTCCGAACCGAGGGTGTCACAATGTACTGATACTGATCATAATCATAATATTTATAAAGGATGATAATATGATCATGAATAATGTTAATACTGAAATATAATACAATAGGATATATTATAATAGAATATATTGATATAGTATATTAATATAATATAATATAATATATGAATTTTGTATATTAATATAATATAATATTTTAATAGAATATAATAGAATAGAATATAATATAAGAGGCTGCAGTAATGCACCTTGAAGCTGGTTGCCAGGGTTACTGTGTAATTCAATAAAAGAAGAGACAAAACACAAGAAAACTTAAAGATGAATGATAAGAATAATAATTTCAGTTTAAATGGGAGTTAAACTGGTTAATGTAACTGGTCAGCTGGTCCAATGCAGTGCTGTATGAATCAATAATTATAATACAATCATATAAAATCAGTATATTAAAGTATATTCAGATCTGAGTGCCTCCTCCACTACTGGTCAGTGTTACTGGTTAGTTATTAATGAACTGGTTCAGTTGTTGCAGTGTTCAATAAACTGGTTATTTAGACTGGTTACAGCTCTTTCAACTGGCCACCAGAACTGGCTGTTATTTAGTAAAGTAGCTATTTAAACTGGTTGAACTGGTCAGTGTTATATTAAACTGGTCAATCACCAGTCTGTCATTTTCTATAAACTGGTAACTTTAACTGGTTAGTGTTCATTAAACTGGTCTATGAACTGGTCTGTGATCTGGTCTGTGATCTGGTCTATGAACTGGTCTGTGATCTGGTCTGTGATCTGGTCTGTAAACTGGTCTGTGATCTGGTCTATGAACTGGTCTGTGATCTGGTCTCACCGTGGTGCTGATGGCGAGTGGCAGCAGGATGAACGGGCTGCAGACGAGGACGGCGATGCCTTTCAACCTCCAGACCTGCCGCAACATTTTCACTCGCAGAGGAAGAACCGACATTGGTGATGATGATGATGAAGAAGAAGAAAAAGAAGAAGAAGATGATGATGATGATGATGATGATGATGATAAGGAATAAATGTAAATGAAATGTCAGAGAAAAACTGTATCACTGAGACTCCTCTCTTTACTGCTCACAGTCTGTCTGCAGCCCTCTCTCTCTCTCTCTGTCTCTCTCTCTCTGTCTGTCTCTCTGTGTCTCTCTCTCTCTAACACATTTGTGATGCATTTCACAGTCGACAAAATAAATATTAACTTAATGTGAGTTACACACTCTCTCTCTCTCTACACACACACACACACACACACACACACACACACACACACACACACACACACACACACACTGAGTAAACACAGAGGAAGAATCAGATCTCCTGTAGACGTCAGATTGAACTCACCTTTTATCCCCCTGCACAAACTCAACAGAGTTCACAGTTTGAGGTGGAAACTGTGAACCTGGAGTTCGCTGAGTCGCTGCAGCAGGAACATTAAGTAATGTCAGGTTTTATGATCTTTAAAATCTAATCTGACACCTGGAGCTTGAGTACATCTGAAGGTCTCACAACAGTGTGAATAATGAATCAATACAAACTGTTCTCTATCCACTCTTTATCAACTCAATGAATGAATGAACTCAAAACACAAAAATTGTTTATACTTTATTCCTCCTTCTTTGTGTCCATTGCTGATATATTCACTGTAAAACCTAAAAGCACATTTTAATAAAAGTAACTTAATCCTCGAAAATGTGTGGAGTCTCTGAATTAAACCCAACAATGAACTGTTGAAGTAATAACTCAACAAGTTTTAGTGAACCTAAATTTGTGCTTTTAATTATTGGTGATATAATTCCATTGACTCCTTTTTTCCCTTTACTTTCTATATAACGACATAACAATCAGGGAGAGGTTGTGCAGTTATCAGCTGCTCCAACATGCCAGGACAGGAATTAATTAATCTTGAACTGCAGTTTTTACCAATATGGTAAGAGAAACATTAAATAATCCATCTTTACTCACTAGATCTCAGCCTTTCTGACCTTCAGGTGCGTAAAAACTACAGTTAACTAACTTAACTTAAAAATGAGAAATTATCTTATTGTCTGAAAATGCTATTCAATATTGTGCATTAATTTAATTATTCTGCTCATGTCTTAATGACAACATGTTTCAAAATGTCATGAAATCGAAATAAAATGAGCAGAGGGACATACAAAGACAAAACTTTTACAATTAGTGTCAAATATAATTTTATTTTCATATCATGTCCGAGAAAAGACATCCTGTTTATTATTTTCACACCAAAAAGCAGATAATCTTTAACTCTTTTTTAATTGACATTCAGTGATCAGTGTATATTTAAACCCTGATAGTAATCTGCTGCCTGTGAGTTTATCCTCTGCTGTCGCCCAGTGGACACACGTGGTTGCACAACTCACATTAATCAACTCTTCTATAAATGGGCCAGTGTTTTCCTGCCGTCTGTTGGCCAAAAGTTGTAAATTAGTCTAATCGCTGTTTGATCCGGGCTGTAAGATGTAAACTTCACCTCAACCAAACCAACAATACAGAAGTTAAAGAACTGTAGTGTTCTGTAATGGAAGCTCCTCTGATGTAAACAGCAGAGCTGGTACGTGTTCCTATGTGCACAATGGAGACATCTGCTGGCAAATCGTCGCGTCTGTATGGAGAGATTAAAACTGCAGGACTAAAGGATTCAAACATATGTGAACTGTCATCCCTGATATCCTGTTGGAGAGTTGAAGCTCATCAAGGCACAACCTTTTATCGTTTTTCAAGACATGTCTGATAAAAAACACTCAAATATCAAATTTGACTTCATGGGGACGTTAAAACTGAGATATGCTATGTGCTAGGTGTGTCTATTTAAAAGACATTTGCTTAAAACATAGCATATCTAAGTACAGGAAAAGAGAAATGTGACTATATATTGAAGCACAGAGCGAAAAGGTTCGGGACTGTGGAAGGGGGACAGTTGTTTAATACTGGTTTCCAGGGTCAATGCGTTTGAATGTGCAGCTGGGAAAAGTATCTGTTGTTACTGGAACTCAGGCAGCAGTGTGTGGGAGGAACTGGATGGTTTTTCTTTTCTTAAGAAACACACAGCACCTAAGCACGATTCTGAAACACACCACGATGCCAAAGGTTGCTGATCGATGTGCTGCTTTCACAAACTCCACTGTTCTGGTTTTAAAACTTTCCACCAGATGAAAACTGAACAAAAGACTTATAGGCATTATAGTACCACCTATTGGATGCTTAGTGGAAGTATTCTTGATGTCGCTTGCAGCTTGGTAACATAAGACCAAATATCTCTACCAATTATCTGAATGTGTGTCATTGTGTTCATTACATCACCCCAGTAAATAAACAGATTCTTGAATTACGCTGAGGAAGATATAAACCTCATAATATGGAGAATGACCTTTCCATATTACAGAGCGACTTTCACAGTGAATCTCAGTGACTGGTGAGGATCAAGGTGAACTGAGGTAAAGGAAGGACCCTGTTTGTTACAGCGCTGCATTGTGGGGGCGTTAAGCTGGAACCAGGCAGTTAGAACAAGATAAATATACGCCCACTCTCTCTGCTGAATGTATGTGTAGAGCGCCATGACAGCCCAAAGCTGAAGGACGAGTCAGTGCACAAAGCAGACTCAATCTGTTTCAGTCCACTGTGAAACTGATGCTAATGCTAATTTGGTTTTGTCGTTTAGCTTTGTTTCAAGTTTGGATTAGATTTGTTGTTTGGTTCACTTTAGTTTAGCTTTTGGAAACCTAGGAGCACGATCACAAACTGAGAAACTTTGTTGTTTCCAATTTACCCAATAGAGTCTGTATTTGATGGCCTGAGAACAACTCCACAATCAACTATGTTCCTCCAGAATGAGAAACCCCACCTTTAATTACTTTTCATGGCCAACGTGAGAACGGATCGTAATGTAGCATAACAATTAGACCTTCCTAGAGCTTCTTGGTTGCCTATAACATCTTGATCTTAAACTTACTGAGTCATGACTATGATCTTAAACTGTCATAATTATGATATCTTAAAGATGGTGTGTTTCTTTAAAGGACCAGTGTGTAGGATTTAGTGGCATCTCGTGGCAAAGTTGCAACCAACTGAATACAGCTCGCCTTCCAAGTGTGTAGGAGAGACTACACACTTTGGGTCGAAAGGCAACCCCGTCTCACTCCCAAGACGTTAAATACTGTACAGTATATAGTATAATACTGTCATTTCTGGACGCAACCGCCACCAGAGTGAGTTGACGAAGTATAAAGAGTGAGAAATTCTGTATATGGAGGTGGTGGAGTGGGTGGACGGCTCAAACAAACACAGGACTTTAACCCAGATGTGTGAAACCAACAGTAAACAATACTTGATACGTAACGTACCTTGCTACCTTTTCCTAATCCTAGCCAAGTAGTTTTTGTGCCTATACCTTCACAATGTGAACCACCACAGTGCGACAGAACGTTGCATATTTATTCTTGCTTACCTGATCGTAAGTTGCGGATGTTACATATTTATTTTTGGCAACTTGACCTGTGTGTCCAGAAATAATGCAAGAGGGATTTCTACAGCGGAGTGCCACTGACTAAGCAGCAGTGTTTGACCAGTTGGGAGTGAGAACGTGTTGTATCTACAGCCAGTGTTTGGTTTGTCTGTTCTGGGCTACTGTAGAAACATGGCGGTTCAACATGGTGGACTCTGTAGAAGAGGACCCGCTCCCTCTGTAGATAAAAACAGCTTATTGTAAGGTAACAAAAATACAATGCTCTTTTTCAGGTGATTATAAACTAATGAAAACATACCTATGGATATCATATTTCATTTCTGACAAGAGATAAATGTTACACACTGGACCTTTAAGTAAGTATTTTGGAGTAAAGAGTATGTCACCCAACCTTCAACAAGAAATAATATCATCTCCAGTCGTCCAAGACGGATTTACAGCCTCTGTTATTTCTACAAAAGGATTTACTGCCGTCTGACAGTCTGTCTCTTTATTTTTACATTCTGTTGTGACCACACAGATACAGTCACACTCAGTCCAGGGTTGATCATTAACCAGCCAACAGGGGGGCAGCGGTTGTTGAGTCCAGCCACTACGCTGTCCAGCCTTGAGAAGATTGACCATATCTGTCTTTACTCTTATTTTATTCATCTCATCTTTTAACCCCTTTGGTTTCTCTTCGTCTGCCTCCACATCATACACAGGTCAGGTGAGTTCGGACCATCTTTGACTTCACCAAAGTTTTCACTCCATTCTGTGTCGTTTCAGTGTCAGTGCTGCTAAAATAATAATCTGTAGTTTTCAAACACCCTTTATGACTCAATATACTGAGGTATCTAGAGGGTGCTTTGAGTTGCACTTGAATAGAAAAGATGCATCGCCATACATTTATAGATAAAGACTGTGTGTAAGATCACGTATACGATGTTGGTAGATTCATATAGTTCAAGCAGTTCAGCGTATTCTGTGTTGTGTATTCAGTGTATTGCAGCTCAGCCAAAAAAAGGTTCTGTAACAGTAACCTTTAGTCTGCTGGTAAACATAGCAGCCATATCTGAAATTCTAAACCAACCAGACAGATAGACAGATACATTAATAAGATACCATTACAATGAAAATTATATTGACATGTCAGTAGTTCTGACAGCTTTTGCCCGTAGCAGTGGATTTCTACGGAGTCAGTCGGCCCACACTAAAATATCTTGGCAACAACTGGTGTTTACTGCAGCCAGTGTGTGTTACACCCCCACTGCTATGCAGCTAGCACTATGAGCTAGCATCAGTGTCCAACTTCCAGTGAACACAGCCAGACCATCTTGTTTTATATGTCGATGAGCCGGTCTCAGGACCAAACACAATCTCTGAGACCGGTGGTGCCAATTTTGACAGGGAATACTGTACTGAGGGGGTTTTCTTGCCAGGTTTGGAGTCACTTAGGTTAGCTGCACGGCTGACCGAGCTAACGGCAGTTGGTTAATTAGCGGTTAGCTGCGTAGTTAAAGCTATTTCTCCATCAGGAAACTCTGTCACTGAGAGGTTGCTTGAGAGGAAGCTGAGCAAGGCACAACTTTTTATCGTTTTTGCAAAATATCATTAAGAATATGTGATTATTTTGTCATTATTGGGCTAGATACTGACGTATAGGTGGATCATAGCACAAGAAATATTTAATAAAAACACTTAAACATCAATTTTGACTTCTTAGAGACAAAGTCAGTCGGCTCACAATA